CCCAGTCTTACTTCTTAAGGTAAAGGCTGTCAGTGGCATCTTTGAAACCTCACCTTCCCTTCTTCGATTGAAAATGATGACCTCACAAAGAGTCAAAACTGCCAGTTTAGACCAATGCTTAGACGTTGGCTCACTTATTAGGGTTTGCACATATTCAGGTCGACATACCTCAATATGTGCATGCATGGCTCTAACGTCCTCAGTCAGAGGGAGCAGGTCCGGAGTGTTCCACTTGGCTTGCCGGAGGGTCTGTAGGGCAGCAGAAGAAACACAGACGTCCCACCTCTTCTCAAAAAGCAGCCGGCTTCGTTGGAGGTTTTTAATAAATAGTTCATCAACACAATGCTCCATTTTTGAGTCACATTCAAGAATATCTGCTAGCTTTCTGAGGCTATGGCCGAGTTTGAGGGCCAAGGATGGAGTCTTGTATTGATTTGTTTCCTCATCATATCCAGCCACAGACCTGACTGCATCAATCACATGGTTAAAGTTGGAAGGAATAAAGAAATCCTTAATTGTTTTCAGTTTCCCTGCGGTTTTTGCTTCGTTAATTAACCTACCGACTTCTCTCATTTTCTGCCTAATGTAATCATGCTTAGTCTTATCATGCCCGTGTTTTAAGTACAGGTGCTCCTCCGAGTCTCAGAATCCCCTTTTCTGCTTTGACAACACCCGTGACCTCATCCTGATGCATTGCCCAAATTAAAGACCACAGCTTTTTGCTGATGCCCTCCGGTACAGGCTGGGCTAGGGAGCAGAGGGACTGGACCCTACTTCTACCTGGTTTAGCCTGGTTTAGCCTGGGCATCTTTCTGTGAAAGCCGGCACCTGGCCACATGCCTCCACAGCGACTTTCGCTTAAGCAATGCCCCACAGTCTATACAGTGCAAAAACTCACTGGATTTAACTGGGCAATTTGGCTGTTTAGCTGGGACTAAAGTTCCAATGCCGGCCTTTAAAACCTCAAAATTGTGCTCACGGTTTCCACTATTCCTGATCAAATCAAACTGAAGTTTACGTGCTTTAGATTTCACAGGTAGAGCCAATGCTCTGGCTACGTCACTTTCATTTCCATGTTTTCTAGTCAAATGACGGGACATTTTGTGGCAGGACATTGAACAGTAGAGGCAGAAGTGTCTCTTGCTGTATACTCGCCCCCCATTTTTCTTCTTTTGCAGCTGCATGATAACAATCTTATTTTCCTTTGGTTCGTCACTTTCCGAGTCTTGAAGAAAAGTGTTTTTGATTTTTCTTTTTCCATACTTTTTTACAGGTTTCTTCTTGACAGTTAAATCGTCAGAATCTGAGTCGACTTCATCAATTAGGGACTCTTGACTAAGCTGCACAAACAACAAATAATTTGTAATCATTCTATATAACAATTTGAAGTCATGACTTGTAGTCAGCACTTACCAGTGGTTTGTAAGCGTGCGCTTCAGTGTGCTCCTCCATGATTTCTTGCAGCCTAATGAACCACACACTTGCACCTTTTTCTAGCCTGACACCTGATTTCCTCTGTTGTGCTGCTCCATGATTGGCTCCAGCCTGCTGGGACTGAAATTGCCCCAGTGTGCCCCTCCTTGATATCCCGCAACCCACCACCAGGGTTCCGACACATAACACACTTTTTTCAGGAAAGTAAACCTCCAGGGGTCCTTTCCATATTTTTACAGAGACTGCATAAGGACTGTTAGAAAAGCATTACCCATTGATTATTAAGCTTGGACCAGTGGGGTCCGGTGTTTCGGGCCCCACCACGTAAAACCAGTCCCCATGACGTGAGTGGAATCTCAGGTTATGGAACCCACCAGGAACCATGCACACGGCCACACTCACGGCCACATGCACGCCCACATGCACGCCCACAACACATAACTCCATCAGCAAAACACCCATTCATTCACACAGTGCCCAAACGTGTCTCCTACAAGTAACATGCTTCTTGGTATTTTTAGTGACATTTTAAAGTGCTAAAATTGATTAAAAAATGTTATCAATATAAATATTTAACCATGTTTCCATTAACCATGATTCAATTATCAAAAAGGTGAGAGTTGTTCTATAATATAGCTTTTTGCATTCAATGGTTTTGTTAAGTCTCTGAGATGACTACAGTTGTGATTTAGGGAAATACAAGAATAAATGGTACTGTATTGTATCGTTTTGTATTATTATTTATTATTATGTATTGTTATTTTCACTACCACCAATAGATGTTTATGGCAACACCTCTTTGTTTAATGGTCTGGTTTTGTACGCTCACCTCAGTTTGTGTTCAGTAGGAAGGCGGCCGCAAACTACAGAGTCTGAGCAGAGCAGAAGTGGGAGCCGATCGACTGGTGCTGTCTTTAGACTGGTCCACAGGAAGACTGGACAGGTCCGTTTGTGAGCTTTAGTCTCCGTTCGATACTTTCCTCTCTCTCCTCCATCCATGGTTTATTAAGTGCTTTTCACGATCCTTTGAAAAATGCCAAAGCAGGTGTGTGTTTGTGTGTTTGTCTGTGCAGCAGTGACATTCGCGTGGTGTGCAGTGACTCCGCAGGCTGCATTAGCGTGGTGTCGCTGGGAGAGGGCGCTGTGACAGTTCAGTCTCAGTGGAAAGCTCACGACTTTGAGGCCTGGATCTCTGCCTTCTCTTACTGGGACACACAACTCATTTATACTGGTATTTTTGATCATGTTTTTAAAGTTATGACACTGTCTAGTTCATATTTGGACCAAACAAATTTTACACAAATATACAACCTTAAAGCTGGGGTCACTTCATCAAAACAGTTTGGTTCTATCTCTTGTTATCACAGGGATGTATTTAGATCAGCTTTTTCTGACAGATAAGGTAAAAAAAAGGGGACCACCCTCACTCGGCCCAAATGGTCAAATAGTGACTCACAAAGCTCTTTATTACAAGTCTTCAAAAATAATATTTCCTCTTATTGTCTGATTTACTTAAATTTTACTTTTACTGCAGTACTTGTTTTTGCCAGTGGGGGTGCCGTGGCCTGAGAAAGTTTGATAGGACACGATATACCCAAAAATCTGGATTCTATGAAACCTTTTGCAATATGAATTTTACAAATGAGCTGCATTGACCACGTTTGCAGTAAATAATATCATTCAGAAATTGTAGATGTTCCGTGTTTTTTACCTTTTCAGCTTAAATTTCTATTAAAAAAAATCGAAGATCAAGTTTCCCATAATTGAATGAAATTTTATCGACAATACTATATAAACTTTTACGGCGGCACAAGTTGACTTAAAGGTGTATAGGAGGATTTTTTTGGATCATCAAGATTATTGGTCCTTCTAATTGTCAAAATGAGCTATATAAAATCAATTCATATAGCTAATTTTTACAGACCAATGTCCTTCAGAGCGCTTTACAATGTTCAGAGTTCAGAGAGGGCGGTTCTTCTTAAAATTCTCTATCCCTTTTTAACGTGTGGCTGTCTCTGCAGGTGGCGATGACTGCAAACTCAAAGGCTGGGATCTGAGAACGGGCCCCTCCTCTCCCACTTTCACCAGTAAACGGTAAAGACGCACGTGGCTGAGTGTGGAAACGTAGATTATTTGCGTCGAGAATGATTTGTGTTTGATTGTTTTCTAGGCACACGATGGGAGTGTGCAGTATTCACAGTAGTCCACATCGTGAGCACCTCCTCGCCACGGGCAGGTGAGAGTCTGAAGAGAGTCACAAATATGGCGGTTTAACGTATGCAATTAAAGCTGGGGTACCCAACTTTAGTACCTTAACTAGTTCCCTCCCTCAAAACAGTTTGGTTCTATCTCTAGTTTTCACATGCAGTTTCATTTTGGTCTCACTCAGCCAATCAGCTCTCAAGCGTCAAATTGTGACTCAGAGCTTTTTATTATAAATATTCAAATTACTATATGTTTTTGATTGTATGAGAGCAGCATGTTGTGGTATGATCTTGTTCACTATGGGACAAGTCCGACTGTTAAATCATATATTGTGACATTTGGGACATATGGGCACGGTGGCTGAGTCGATAGCACTCTCGCTTCTCAGCAAGAAGGTCCTGGGTTTCCCCTACCACTAAAAACATTCACAGTAGGTATGAATGTAGATGAGAGAGTGAATGGATGGTGTTGGAGCTGATGGTCCAGTGTGTTCTGGACTCGCTTCTGTCATCACCGTGTGTGGAATGATTGGAACAATATCTGACTCTGAACATTGTAAAGCGCTTTGGGCGACCTTGGTCTGTAAAAATGCGCTATATAAATAAACATTACTTACTTACTATTTGACAGTTTCTATTAACCACACAATTATATTTAAAACTGTTGGTTTTTGAGACTGCAACTTCTCATACTGGGAAACTCCAGCTTTCAACCCATTTTTTGGTCCAAGCAAAATGATCATATTTGCATTTAATCTTGTGAGATCATGCGGCACAAAAGCCCTCACTATTCAACCAAGTGATGACATGTGATGTTTTTCTGCTTGTGCGTTGGTTCCCTGCAGCTACGACGAGCACGTGCTGCTGTGGGACGGCAGGAACATGCGCCAGCCGCTCAGTGACAGCGCGTTGGGAGGCGGCGTGTGGAGGCTGAAGTGGCACCCGGCTCACGAGCACCTCCTGCTGGCCGCCTGCATGCACAACGACTTCCACATCCTGCACTGCAAACAGGCTCTGGGTACGCAAGTCTGTGCCGCATGGTTCTTTCAAGATGAACTCTGCGACTGAGACAAAAAAATTGATCCAGATGATTTGTCTGTGGTCCGTGTCACGACTTAGAATCTCATGAGACTCCTGTAGTCTGTAGCCGGCTTTAGAAGAAATACTTTAGTTTTAAAACAAAATTGTTGCAGTTCTTGTGTTGGAATGGTTTTATTCTCTGATCTGTGTTGGGGAATTTGACAGTTTTGTAAAGTCCTCCCAGATAACTACTGTTGTGATTTAGGGCTATACATATAAGCGTTGAATTGAATTATATTATAGATACTGGTTTGAAACGTGTGCCTTTGCCAGAATTATTGTCTTATTGTCAGAATCTTTATTGTCTGTTCAAATTGAGCAGAGATTTGTCTTTCAACACGGCACGATTCATGATCATTCATAAAACACACATAAAATACATTTAAAACACATAAAAAATACATTTCATAATTTATACAGTGCTACCGGTTGTTTAGAGCAGTGACTGCAGATGGGACAAATGATCTCTTGTAGATGTTTTTTTTTGGATCTAGAAACGACTCTATTGGATCTAGAAACAACTCTATTTTGTGATGATGAACAATATTGCAACGTGGTTAAAAACCCCTAAAAGTCTATTATGCATAATGTCTTCATGTTTTTTGTCCCCGCAGAGGGCAGCAGTGAATCCTGTCCCGTGGTGGCCTCCTACATCCTCCACAACTCGCTGGCGTACGGAGCGGACTGGTCCCGCCTCAGTCTGGACGAGCCCGCGCCCTGCTCCCCACTCCCCTCCACCAGCGCCGCACCAAAGCAGCCGCTCCCAGGGTCCGGCCTCCACCTGCGCATCCAGTACGAGTCTCCCACGGCCAGCTTCGACACCTCCCTGGAGGACGACATGGGCCGATACGTCCCCGACAGCATCGAACCCCCAACCGCGCTCCCAGACCAGCCGCCCTGTCCCGACACAGACTCTGTGTCCTGTTTGCTCGCCAGCTGCTCTTTCTACGACCACATGCTTCACGCCTGGAGGTGGGACTGGACTCCAAACACGCAGCAATGCTAAGTTACAAACGCATTATTGGAAAGTTATTTATCACTGCCCTATTTTCTAAACATGTTTTTACTTTGTTTTCTGTGTCAGTCTATATTCAATATTTGTATCTAACCATTGATCATGGTTTTCCCGACCAAATGATCCACTCAAATCCACTTTTAAGTAATAGTTAATTTTGTATTAAAATGACCATGGAGCTGCGAAGGGCCAACCTCACGATTCCAGAACAAAACTAAAAAAATCCCATTAAGTATCTGTAGTAACTTACTTTTCATGGTAAATTAATACTTTGATATGTGTCTCCAAATAACAGGATACATGTTTGTATTCATTTGAAATACAGTGAACAAGATGTCAAAAATATTTGTTTGCAATTTTTACGCAGATTATCCAGAGAGCAGAATAAAGCTCTTTTGGATTGTCAGCTTGTTTGGTGAAATTTCGCTGCTCTTGGCTTGATCATTTTTTAGAATTCTCGGCGCCACACATCTGTAGACTGAGGTTTCTGGTTAGCCTCGGTCATGCCTTCAAACTTTGAATGCATGTATTTTTTGTACTTCTTGGGGAAAAATGTATAAGAGATGATTCTCCTGGAGTGTGGATTGAAGGCGGTTGGACCCTGCAGCTCTGTTACAGATTATTCCTGGTTTCACCACAGACACGAGCTCACTGTCCTGAATCAAAGAGAATCCATGTTTTTTTTTTTGTTTTTTTTTTTAATCTGTCATAAAAATCAGATCCGACATTGTCACACAGGTATTTTGGCACCATTGAAAGCAAACCTCCTGCTTGCTTCCATTATCACTTTCTTTGTCAGCACTTACAGTTGTGATGTTTACAGCAACGACACGAACCAGCGCCACCCACAGCTCAGCACAAGACGGTGCAGAGCTGTGGGTGCGACAGATTTTAATTATGAAACAGACCAAAGCACAAAGTAGTCTTCAGAGTAGCACGTTCTATGTGTTTTATAGCTTTCTATGCACGTTTCATTTGGGGGAATTAAAGCTGGGGTACCTAACTTTAACACCACAAAAATGAAACAATTGTGTAATAATATCCATCTAACTAGCTTGGCTCTTTTTCTGTTGTCACTCCCTAGTCAGACTCTTCGCTCAGTACAGGCTGCAGTGTGGCGCTTCGACCCCACATCCAGAGGGGGCCTTTCTGTGTCTGCATAGGTTTCCTCCGGGTGCTCCGGGTTCTCCTACCACCAGAAAAATGTACAATAGTTTCCTGCAACACCCTCCCCCCTCTCTCTGGGGCTGAAACTCCCGTGTAAAGGAACTGAAATCCCAGTGAGAATTTCCGTGTTAAATTAAGGTCAGTTAAAACATAATCAGGAAGATGCATGTTTTCTAATGCGATGAAGACGGAATGTCGTGGTCTGGTTTGTTTACAAAATAATACTTTAAGAAGACTATTCAAAACACAATATATTATTTATGAAAAAGTTAGGTTCCCCAGCTTTAAATAGAGGTGGTGAGGGGTATATTTTTTGTAAACAATTACATTTTGCTATATATCCTCTTCTATTCTCTGCCTCAGTTTGATTGTTTAAAAGCCTTTGTGTTGAGCTTTGAGCTGTTGTGTATCACCTCATGACTAATGAAGCCAGCGTCACTAAAAACACACACACACTGTAACATGTTTCAATAAAAGACTCCAGTCCACTTCATTCAGAGTAACGTTTTAATGTTTGCACAATAATCAGTACATCACTTTTCCTTTTATTTGGGTTCAATAAATGCATCCTTCAGGGCAACAGTTTCACATCACAATTTTTGGTTGTTTCTTTTTGTTTTTGGGTCAAAGAAAGGAAAAAAACAACTATTTTTCAGTACAGGCCGCTTTCATGTGGGAGAGAAATGAAGCCACAAAAAAGTAGAATATTTAGAACAATTGCAAAAAGTGAAAAATAAATGTATATTAGTAGTTCCAAAAGAAATTCCCGAAGAAAAACATTGTAGTTATTAAAAATGTGCTGAGGTGACAATATGGTTTTAGTTTTTGATTGAATTCATATACAAAGTGCAGTGTGTTCTGACGTGTGGAGAGTAGTAATCGTCTAAACGTAAAAATACAAGTATATTACATCAAAAATACAGATAATAATGTTATACTTTCTCTATTATAAATATAAATAAAATCTGGTGGAGCAAACAGTCGTCACAGCGTGGTCTCGCTGCTCATGTCGCGCGGCCGGTGATGGTCCAGGTCCGAGTCGTAGTCAGACTCCATCTCGATCTTGACCTGTGGCACGGGGCAGGAGGCCGGGCCACGGGGCAGCAGGCCGGGGGCGGGGGACGTGGGGCACGAGATCTTCAGGTGCAGCGTGATGCTGAGGAGGGAACGGCCCGTTACAACACACACAGCGGCGAACACACAACCAGCTCTGAAGCTCTTTGGACAATGGCGAGTTAAAGAAGACATTTCATGCATCATGTTTAGAAATGAGACTATTTACTTTGTCATTTTAAGTTAGAGAATGTGCAACAACTTCAGTAGAAAATACATGAAACTATATGGACCTGTCCTATCCCTATGCTACCACTAGAGGGAGGTGTAGAGTTTTTTCAACTGTAAACAGCCATGGGTCTAGCAAATATTGTAATTTCATCAGAGAAATTCTAAGACAAATGTATGAGTCATGCTTTTGTTTTAAAAGGCAGGAAATTTCTCTGAGTTTGATGTCATAGTGGTACAATGACTATTACAGGACTTTGGACAGAAGGGGCAGAGTATTTAGTCAGTGATGCATAGAATGTCTCCTTTAATGTAAAACACTTTATGATTAAATAAATAAACTAGGTTGTATAAATGACTAATAACATTTGAATTAATACACAAAATGGAAAATACTGGTTTGTGTATGAACAAAGATGACTTAAAGCTAATAGGGCTGTAACAAGTTTGATTAATCACAATCACGACATTTGTATTCTTTTAAGTAGATATGAACTAATTTATGTAAGGGTCAAAAAACAATCGATTGCTAGACTGAGCATGCTCAGAAGAGGTTTTATGACTATAATTGGTACAAAACAACATGGAATTATGTCACATCTCATAAAGAAAGATGTCCTCGAGTGGCTTTAGCTCCGTTTTGACCAAATTTATAAAAATATTCCATACTCAACAGATTTTTATTACCAAGTAAGTAAGTAATCTTTATTTATATACCGCCTTTCACAGACCAGAGTCACAAAGCGGTTTACAATTTTTATTTTTGGGCATTTGTCTCTCACTCCACACAGAGATGGGAGCGGGGTTACTAATCGATTAATCTGAATAATAATAATTCTTCCGATCAACAATGATTGATAATGAAAATAATAATTACAGCCCCAAAAGCTAAACATATTTCTTCATTACAGTAGTCCCTCGTTTATCGCAGTTACGTTCTAAAAATAACACAGATTTAGTTTATTGTGGGTTATTTTTAGAACGTAGCCCTTTCAAAGAAGCAGCTGAATGTTTAAGGCTGTAAAACCCCTCAACACACACTTGAGCTAAAGTGCAATCACGGAGATTTCAAACTTGTTCGTTGTAGGTCTGAGAGGGTGCTGCAGCTGTCAAAAGCCGTGCATACACTGTAAAATACAGCTGCAGAGGAGACCGCGCTGAGGGGCAGGACTGAGGGCTGCAGGAAGACCACTGTCTCCTGGACTAATCACTGCGGCGCACACAAGACTAACTAAAGGTAACTGTTTTGCTAGAGGTTCTATGATGTTGAATATTTGAAGATGAGGTTTTTGGAGTAAACACGCTGTGAACAAAAATCAGTGAAACATCGAGGGCCAAGGTGAACCGCGATATAGTGAGGGACCACTGTACACGTAGTTACACGACTGAAATGTCCTCTGCTCTGGAAGCCGCTGCAGCAACAACACAAATGCACAAACAGCTGTGATTTCCAGCCCATGCCTCTCTGAGACAATGCAGACACACACAGGACGCTTTTGAAACACATCAGAGAGAAACATGTTCACAGAAGCTCTTTGGCCGCAGCCGTCATGAAGCCAGAGACAAAAGAAACAACCAAAACCTTGATGTGTGTTGCACGATGAAGGTTCTGAGAATAACACACACTTCACACATTATTACCCACAATATGAAAACATTACGCACATGGAGCAAAGAGACAGGAATGAACCGGAAACACACCCGCAGTATCTGCATTGCCTCAAAGTTCACAGACCGTTAAACAAGTTCTGTTACTACATTTGTATTCCTGAGGCCGCTACACAAACATGAACACACACATGTGCATACACACTGGGAGAAGTCCGTGGTTATATACAAACACACCAGGATACGCTAAATAAAGTGTCAGGGAGGTCTGGGGGAATGGGACGGTTGGACAGAGTGGAGCTGTTGTATAACCGTCGCTCTTTACACTGGATATTCATGGGTTTCAGCCTCTGTTTTCAAGCTCTTTGTCGACTTTTGACCACTGAAGTTATAAGGCCCCGTTTAAGTACATTTCTGAACACTTAAGGACAGTGGTCATCCTGTGTTGTTCCTGTGTTGGAACGGTTTGATTCTCTGATCTGGTGAGTTGTAAAGTCATCTGAAATGTCTGCTGTTGTGATTTATACAAAATAAATTAAACCGAATGGAATTGTGCAGTCCAAAATTGAGGTAATTCAAGTCAATTTTAACTGCGTCATTTTTTTTGTCTCAAGAGATTAATGCTGCGTCCGTGCCTCTGAAAATACCGTTACAATAACGACAAGAACTGGCTAAAAACAGGAAACCAATCATTAGGCACGCCCCCAATGCACTGGTCTCCCTGGTCTGGTCTCCGTCGTCTCTGTGGTCTCCCTTGTCTGGTCTCCGTCGTCTCCCTGGCCCTCGTCGTCTCCCTGGTCTCTGTGGTCTCCCTTGTCTGGTCTCCGTTGTCTCCCTGGTCTCTGTGGTCTCCCTTGTCTGGTCTCCGTCGTCTCCCTGGTCTTTGTGGTCTCCCTTGTCTCTGTGGTCTCCCTTGTCTGGTCTCTGTGGTCTCCCTTGTCTGGTCTCTGTGGTCTCTCTTGTCTGGTCTCCATCATCTCCCTGGTCTCCATGGTCTCTGTGGTCTCTGTGGTCTCCCTTGTCTGGTCTCCCTGGTCTCCTTGGTCCCCTGGTCCCTCTGGTCCCCCTGGCCTCCCTGGTCTCCGTGGTCTTCCTGGTCTCCGTCGTCTCCGTCGTCTCCCTGGTCTCTCTGGTCCCCCTGGCCTCCCTGGCCTCCCTGGTCTCCCTGGTCTCCGTGGTCTCCGTGGTCTCCGTGGTCTCCGTGGTCTCTGTGGTCTCCCTTGTCTTCGTGGTCTTTGTGGTCTTTGTGGTCTCCCTGGTCTCCGTGGTCTCCGTGGTCTCCGTGGTCTCCCTGGTCTCCGTGGTCTCCCTGGTCTCCGTGGTCTCCGTGGTCTCCGTGGTCTCCCTGGTCTCCCTGGTCTCCGTGGTCTCTGTGGTCTCCCTTGTCTGGTCTCCGTCGTCTCCCTGGTTTCCGCGGTCTCCATGGTCCCGTGGTCTCTGTGGTCTCCCTTGTCTGGTCTCCCTGGTCTCCGTCGTCTCCCTGGTCTCCTTGGTCTCCTTGGTCCCCTGGGTCTCTCTGGTCCCCCTGGCCTCCCTGGTCTCCCTAGTCTCCCCCACTCGCGAGCCTCTACTCTAAACCAGCCCACCTTTGCACAAGCCTTGGGTAAAGAGACCGTCGGCACAGAGCAGTGTCCACTTCTGGTCACTAAACAACTCCGCTGTGTTCTGGGGAGAGCGGCTGGATGAAAGTGGGAGGTAGAAGCGCGGACACAAAACACCAACAACGTCATAAGTCATAACGTTTCCAATGAGTGGATCTGACAAAAGATTTCCCAAACCACAGAAATAAATATAAGTGAATGAGCACAATCTTTTGCATGTGGATTAGAGTATTACAATAACAGGAAGGGACATTTGAAATAGATATAAATGTGCAATTAAATAATCAATCCTTGTCCAGAAAACTATATTATCGCAGTTTGACGTTTAATTTTAGGCTGTAAAACAAATAGAGCTATCCATGGCCTTCAGAATGATTGACTGGCGTGACTTGCAATCTTTTGAAAAATGGAAGAAGAAGCTGAACCCATGAATACCGGTATGTTTATTTGGTTTTACTCAGGATCGAACCCAAACTATTATTTCTTGTCAATTTCCTAACCACACCTTACTGTTTCTAAACCAAAACCAGATTCAAGCATTTCTCTAAATGACCAAACATTATTCCAAATGGCCACAGCACAGAACCATTAAAGGAGCAGTATGTAAAAATCTGGCCAAAGCTGGTACTGCACTCTCCCTGACTCAGGTTGCCAGATGTGCAGAAGAATCCAGCTGGGAAATCTAAAACAAACACATTTTTCACATCGATAGAAATCCTGGTTTTATTCCTTGTTTTGTTGTTAATGATTTGAGAATCATAACGAGACCTTTTTAGTTCTGCGGCCACGTGTTACTTTACCAGTGAGATTAGCTCGATACTGTGAGTTCTGGCAACCCGGATCAAGGACTTTCTGATTGGTGAAACGGTGGAGGGCGGGACATCAAAATCAAAACAATAACAACAATTTTTAAATTTGCATATCTCAGCTGACCAACTGTTTATACAGGTTACGGTAAAGGTGCACTTATTAAAGCCTTTTGACAGATTAGGGCCCTTTAATGATGACTTGACACAAAAATCTTACATATTGCTACTTTAAGAAACAGTAAGTAGTGGAGGGAGGAAATGTGCCAATTGTATCAGATCCTTTGAGATTAAAGCTGGGGGACTTTATTTTCAAAAAACTGACAATCATTGAACATTATTTTCAGTCAGTTAGCTCTCAGCACAAAGCGTCTAGTGCCTCATAGAACTCAAAAGTGAAAATGTTTTGTAATCATGAGAGTTGGTTCAGAGAATCATTAATGAAACAGAGTACCCCAGCTTTAAACATACATCCATGAAGAGTAGAGCGCCCCCTACAGCCTGTGTTTGGGGGAGGGCTGGCAGTAGGCGCCCCACTGAGTCTGGGTCACGTCGGGGTACACCAGGTCTCTGTAGGGGATGTGCAGTTTCAGGACACAGTACCTGCGGTCCAGGTCCGACTCGGAGCTCGGGGAGTGGTTCGAATACGACCGGTACTTCTCCTGAAACAATAATGTTAGCTTTATACAGACGGTCGTTATGACAACAGGGTGGATTATCTGGATCTATTCACTTCCAATACGGTTGGAAATTGGCAAAAATTCTCTAACAATATGAGCAGGAAATATCAAGATAACTGTATAATTTATGATAGAATTAAAGCTGGATAAAGTCTTTCTTTTGTCCTCGACTTTAACGTCAAATTGTTATGTGAATCAAGTTGAAAAATTACGAAATATATATCGAAACATTCTGAGTTTAAAGTCAACGTCAGAAAAAATCTTGAGTAGTGTTGTCATTCATGCAGAAATAGTATTATTACATCAATTCAAACGATATCATCTTATTAGAGACTAATAAAAATGTATTATTTATAGTGGGAAAAAGTTAGGTACCCCAGCTTTGAAGCCCTGAAGTGGCCTGGCCAAAGCTCGTTGCAGTAACATCCCTGCCCACTGGGGGTCAGTAGAGCTCTGTCTCACCTCTTCCTCGCTGTCGTCTGTCTTACATTTCTTCTTTTCCTTGTCTTTGTCTTTCTCTTTTGACTTCTTCTTGTCATCGTCTTTCTTCTTCTCCTTTTCCGGCAGCAGGTCGTCGATCCAGGCCAAGTCGTGCTGTGAGAAAACCATGTCGAGCATCTTCCGGACCACCATGAGCCCCAGGATCTGAGGAGGGACACAGGAGTGTATTCCAGCAATGAATCGGACAAGATCTTGCAATAAAATAAATACCTACAATATTCACTAATGAGGAATATGAAGTTGTGAGATTTTCCCCCAGTATTCTTGGTTAACTAAACTAGATAGAAACATGTTATCTTTCCTAATCAGTTTTAGAGCAGCTAATTTAATATAAAATCACACAGTATTTTGATAAATGATAGTAATGTCAAATCATTGTTTAGTTACACAAAACAAAAACCAAACTTAAGTCAAAAAACCACAATGTTGTGTGTGCCAGGTGCCATAGTGGGGTTAACGGCAGCAGTAAAATACCAAACTGTTGTTGTGTCCTTAGGCAAGACAGAAGTGTGCGTGAATATGGTAGTTAGAGGGGCCAATGGCACATACCGGTTGCCTCGCTCTTTTCAGTCTGCCCCAGGGCAGCTGTGGCTACAGAAGTAGCTTATCCCCACTGTGTATGGAGTGAAAGAATAATGACACGTGAAGCGTCTTTGAGTGTCCAAAAAGCTCTACATAAAACTGATGCATTATTGTTACTATTATAATGACATCATACATTCAGCTGAGACAGGAGCTTTTTGACAGAAGCAGAGTTACATGTTTGTGCCAGAAGTTCCTGATATCAGCGTGGTCAGAAGGTCAAAGTTGATTTAGCTGGACATGTCTCCTTTAATGTATAATCCATATGTTATAGATTATGACTGCTCTCAGACATGTCTTCGTAAACCTGACTCAGCACAAACACAATAACAATGTATTTGTGCGAGAGCCGTAGCCCCAGACTGAGCCGCCGTGATAACACCTTGGTCTAATATTGACTGTGGGGTTTCTGACTTTTCCTGATCAAATGCATGAGTGTCTGTGGCCTCTGGGGGGCTGCAGTGGGCTTTACCATCACAGGGAAAATAATGGCCAGGAAGGTGGATTTGAGGACCCAGAGAACAGCCAGGCAGATGATCTGGACCAGGGTGAAGAGATGGACCCGGCGCAGAGGCACGTGGCGCAGGTAGGTGAAGTCTGGCTGGTGTTTGGATGGCATTAGGTACAGCTTAATCCTGTCCCAGAACTAGAGAAGACAAACATGAAACAGAAGAGAGAATTAACAACACTGTCTCGTTCTTAGCCGCTTTGCACTGATTTCTGAAGTTAAAAAGTATTATTTGTGTTCGTTTTGACCCTTAAACTTGAGAGTGCACTGTACAAAAGAAAAAACTAGTTCAACTCAGAATTTCAAGGCAACCGACTAAACAGAATTTTTGAGTTGAAGGCATCAACTTCATGTTCCGATTACCGTCCCCTGTAATAACTTACTGTTTTGAGTTTAAATTACCCCCCACATTAAATCATCCTGTTTCATGTTTATTTATATAGCGCATTTTCAGACCAAGGTCACTTGGGCAGGGGAAACCAGAGCACCTGGAGGAAACCTATGCAGACACAGAGAACATGCAAATTCCACTCAGAAAGGCCCTGTTCTGACCGGGATTCGAACCCAGGACCTTCTTGCCAAGCTGCAAGAGTGCTAACCACTCAGCCACCGTGCCACACAAACTGTAGTGTGGGACAACTAATGTTTCTTAAGGAAACTCGTGCCCTCAAGAAAGATTAGTTTTATAAATACCATAAACAAAACAATTTAAGTTAATTAAACACAGTCTGTGTGGATGTGGTTATTGTTTTTGTATCAGACACACCGGAGTTTCATTGCAAAGTGAATGAAAAGTTGATTCAGAACAGAAGCAACGTTTTGGAGCAGAGGTTCAGCAGCAGCTCCACAGGACCTGACAGCTGCAGCCAATACAGAGAGACCTCCACAGAAACAGCACTGACCAATGAGACGGAACCATGTGCACACGGATGGGATTTCAGCACAGACACGTCCACAGCCACGACTGTGTCTGAGGTCACCGTTCACTTGATTTATGTTCATAAAAGATCATGAGACATGCAATATTTTAACATGGTTACATGTTGCAGTGGGGGCTGGTGTGTGACAATGCCTGGAAGGTGCCACTTTCCACCTCCTTTTATTTTGTTGGAGTTATGATTGGGCAATTTGTTTGTGGATTCCTGACAGACAGGTCAGCATTTAGATTTTCGAACTGGTTTACAGACATTTATTTCCTTTTCAGGTTCCAGTTCAGATCAGTTTTTTGCCCAGTTAGCAGTGGTTCATTGAGAGCTAGCTTCTCACTATGTGTTGAGTGAATGAACAAAAGAGAACCTTTAGTAGAGGGAAGAATGCACTCTAAATCACTGTGAGTGTCTGTAAATAAATGCAATGCATTGTTAATAGGTTCTTTTGGATTACAGGTTTGGAAGGAAGCCCATCTTGTTTTCCACTATAGCCATACAAACGATTGCTGCATTAATCCAAGCTGCATCTGTCAACTGGGTCATGTTCACCATGTTGAACTGTTTGAGAGGATTCGGTCAAGCATCCTGCTTCACTACTTCTGTGATTCTTGGTAAAGAACAATTGTATATCTTATACTGTATATGTTCAGATGTTTCTTTGTTTTGAAGGTATAGTGTGCACTCACAAATATTCATTCACCCTTCTTGTTGTGTAGCACAGACGCTAACTACATGAACACTTTCTCTTATTCTCAGGGAGCGAGATACTGAGCTCCAAGGCTCGTGTGATCCACTGCCTGCTGGGTCAGAATCAGGGGGTAGGGATCGGCTACGCCCTAACACCTCTGTTGGCATACTTCATCAATAACTGGAGGATGTTGCTCTTAGCTTGTTCCGTTCCTGGTTTCCTTGTTATTCCATTGTGGTGGTGAGTTCATTAAGATTTGTTTTCCAGAAGAACTTAAATTGAAAAACTCCAACTCCTTTTTCAGGTTTGTACCTGAGTCTCCACAGTGGCTTTTGCAGAAGAAGAGGTTAAAAGAAGCAGAGGCTGTCATCTGTAGAGTAGCCAAAGTGAACAAAGTGTCTCCGCCTGCAGTCATTTTTACACCAGACCGCTGTTCGCATCAGGTGAGCTTTGTGAGTCTATGTTAATGTTGTGTGTCGAGGAGTTCTGGGATAGTTTTATACATATTGAATGCAGAGCACAGTGATTTAAACACTGTTAGACTTGAACAGAACATTCATAATTAGCAGTTCTTTACCAGAGCACATGAAGCCAGAATGTGTTTGTTTCTGTCTCAGACATCAAGTCATGAAGAGAATCCTTCATGTTTGGATCTTGTACGCATTACAAACATCAGGATTATTACACTAACAGGGATGTTCATTTGGTAATAAATGCTTTTTGCTTTGATCATCTTTAGCATCATAAATACAATCCATTATTATCAGTTTTGTCCTCATGTTAGTTGTGACTGCTCTTTTGCAGGTTTACCTTGTTCATGGTTCAGTATGGCCTTTATCTGAACTCAAGCAGCTTGAACGGCAGCAAGTACATGAACTACTTCATCTTAGCTGCGATCGACATTGTGGTGTATATAATGACCTGGCTCATGATCACCCGAGTGTCCAGGCCCATACTCCTCTTTTCCTCATTTATGTTTAGTGGAATTTTGCTTCTGGTAATCCAGCTGGTACCTGAAGGTTTGTATCGTGTAATCTAAAACTGGGAGCCTACCGATATATCGGTATCAGGCGCTTTTTGATATATATGTTTTTGTTTAGTTGAGTTGTTGTTTCAATCAGTAGACTGGACTACAAGCACTCACACTGTAAAATATATAAATATATATACACACAGTGAAATAAATAAATATATAAAATACATAAAAATATCTAACAGTGTGTATATATAATATATAATCTGTGTGTGTACAGTATATATATAATAACAACAGCGCCTTTTAGAACTCTCACAGTCATTTCACATGTCATTATCATACGTGATTAACTACTACTGTAGCCACAGCTACCACACATGTGGAACGGAGCTTTGGGCCAAGAGCCAACTTTTGAATCATCCTGTAAATACGTTTTCGAGAGGTAAGAAGATGCTATATTTTAGCATTGGCTAATTCTTAGTCCGGGTCCACCCCCATTGGTCTGGGGGTGGTACTGTACCAGACTCATACTATGAAATGTGGGTAAAGTGTCTTGCCTAAGGACACAACAACAGTTTGGCACTTTACATCCACCTCCCTGTGGCACCTGGCATTCCCAGAGGTCTCTCATCCCAGTACTAACCAGGCCCTGCCCTGCACAGCTTCAGAGGTATGGCGGGATCTGGCTTCTGCATGCAAGTATGGCCACATATGTCACTAATGTACTTGTCAAGTTGGTCTAGTCCAGCCTACTGGTCAAAACAACAACTCAACTAAACAAAAACATTTATCAGTCTACTGCACATTATTTGTACTTTCAATATAAATGAAAATCAGTTTTATATATCTTCTATATATATATATATATATATATATATATATATCTCTTCTATATAGCGATTATCGGCCTCACTGACCACTTATTATTGTTTTGTGAGGGCTTTTTCTCCTCCACAGACATGGACACAGTGTTCCTGGGGCTCGCCCTCAGTGCAAGGATTGGGATGTCCTGCGCTTGCACCTTCATCAATATGTTTTCCCTTGAGCTGATGCCTGTCGTCCTCAGAAACACTGGACTGGGAATCTTTACTACTACAGGACGAATAGTTAGTATCCTGTGCCCCTATATAAATTATTTAGGTAAAAACATCATCATTCACGATGGGGCGAACGTCGACCCACTTGAATTGAGATTCCACATTCAACCAACTTGGGTAACCATACTTGAAAAAAAGTATGGTTACCCAATATTTGGCTACATTACACATTCTACAATTTCTGTAGAATTTTCATATTGATTTTATTGGATGTGGGACGGATTAAGTAAGATATTTACTAAAATGTGCAGGTTAAAAGGCATTTATGCTTGTTCACTTTAATGTTACACATGACACTTTATCCATTTATCTTGAAATAAAGTGCATTTTTGTACTTAATTTATGCCAAAAATATAAGATATTATCATAGGTAAATTTTTGACCAATATATCGACAATCGCTGCATCGTCATATCGTGAAATAATCATTATTGTGAGATTTGTATCGCACATCGTATCGTATCGTGAGGTTCCCCGAGGTTCCCGCCCTTACGTTTGACCTGTCGTTGCCAAAAAAGGTGACATTACAAAGAATAGAGTTGAACTTTTGTCATTGGTACAAAAGCACTAAACAAATAAATGTATTCAAATTCTTTCACAGTTGTATGTATGAGGAAAGTTAAGGACCCATCTCACTTTTTTTAAGTTAAGCAACAATTGACACCTGCCAAATACTTGTTTTCCCAAACTCTACATATTATTCATATATTTACGTGTTCAATTATTTAATCTACACAGGAATAAACAACAGGGCCACTCCTTACACGATTTTTGGCACCTTTAGTGTCATTGCTTCTGTGTTCGCTCTGTTTCTACCAGACACTAGACACAGACAATTACCAACCCTAATCACTGACGTGCAATCTGTCCAAAGGTATGTATTTTTATTTCCTCTTGTGTTAACAGTAACAATGGTGGGGACTTTTACTTTTGATGTCACATTCAAGTTATAACAAAATCTTTTCTATTTCTCTTTGAAGACACTGTTGCCAAAAGAACCTCTCCCCGTGTACACATCAGAGAGCAAACAGCCAAGAGGAAGAACCTTAAAAGTAACAGTACAATATATTCTAATTTTATACTTTGTGGCAACCTATTTCCACAAGATTCGAGTCTTTTTCCTCTGTTAAGGTTATAGCTGTTGTTTTAGCGAGGACTGCTCCACAAATCACTTTCAAACTCGATTCAACCTTAACACCAACCACGGGCTGAAGCTTAAATACAGATGGACAATGCTAACCCAGTCGCTCGATGAAGCCCAACAGGGAAGCGCCCTACTCGCTCTGGCTCTTCCACTCACCATTTTGGATGGACTTTAGCACAGTGGTTTATCGCTCGCTATGATCCTAAGTTTTTATTTTGATATTGTATTTGGTCAATCCCTATTTTCCCCAAATTAGGGTTTACAATCAGATGCCTTCATTTGCGAGGGAAACTCCAGCTTGCCTTAGCAACGTCCTTAACAACATGTCTGCTCCTGTTGTGGCGTGAAGCTTAAGTCGTCCAAACAAATGCCCTTATGAAGAAATTGGCTCCAGCTAGCTTCTTCTGCATTCGGTTAACACTAGGGGTGATGTCTACATGCTGAAGAGGAGGATTTGTTCTTTCTCCCAATCTAACAGTAGTGGGACGAGAACTGAGCTAGGGACAGGCAGTATTTTGACTAAAATAAGCACAATCCAATTGCATAAGTCAAGCATTTGCCATTTGGGCGGCACAGTGGCTGAGTGGATAGCATTCTTGCCTCTCAGCAAGAAGGTCCTGGGTTCGAATCCCGGTCGGACTAGGGCCTTTCTGAGTGGAGTTTGCATGTTCTCCCCGTATCTGCGTAGGTTTCCTCCGGGTACTCCGGTTTCCCCTACCACTAAAAACATGTACAATAGGTCTGGCATGCGCCTCCTATACTGGCCCCTGCTCCCATCTCTGTGTGGAGTGAGAGGACAAGTGCCCAAAAAATAACAATTGTAAACCGCTTTGTGACTCTGGTCTGTGAAAGGCGGTATATAAATAAAGATTACTTACTTACCATACTTGTGATTTCATGTCCAGACTTGAAACACTTGACTAAAATACAATAGCACAGGTAAATCTGTTGTTTTCCTGTTCCGGGGGGCTTCTAGTTATAAAAATTGTATTACATAGTTAATTTCTTTATAGCTTTAAAGTAAGGCACCCCAGCTTTAAGCACAGATCTGGTGTTTTTACCTGTATTCCACTGAGAGAGGCCACACCCATGTACAGGAACACTCCGTACAGCACTGGCATCGGGATGTACTGCAAGAGACAGACACACAACACGTGTATTAATGCACAAAAATATATGTTAGATTTAGATTATTCAAATAATTATACATCAAAATACAATGATAGTGGTAAGGAACACACAGTACGTCTTTCAATATATATATTTAGTCCTCTACACTTTGAGACAACTTTTTCAGCCAAGAGCCAAAGCTTCTTAGCAACTTCTATCATGTTTGTTTAGTAACTTTATTAAACGTCCTGCTGTATACTGTAACAGACTTTTAGAATTTACTTAATGATGTGATTTTACAGTTTTTGCAGTTAAAACAATATTAATCAACAGTAGTTTACGTTGGAATCCTCACTGATAATGATATTTCAATCTGAAGAGACCAAAGACACAATTAATAAATTAATAATGATTTATTTATTTGGCGCGTTGACCCTGGCCGTGACACTTGCAGCGATGATCTCATATCCCTCGGCGTCAAGCACTGGTAGTGGCTAGAGTATGGTGTGAATGGGGCGTAGGCGGAGCAGGAGCCAGAGCGGGAGCCAGAGCGGGAGCCAGAGCGGGAGCCAGAGCGGGAGCCAGAGCAGGAGCCAGAGCGGGAGCCAGAGCAGGAGCCAGAGGGGGAGCCAGAGTAGGAGCCAGAGCAGGAGCCAGAGTAGGAGCCAGAGCAGGAGCCAGAGCAGGAGCCAGAGTGGGAGCCTAGAGCGGGAGCCTAGAGCAGGAGCCAGAGGAGGTGCTGGGGAGGTGGTGAGTGTTAAGGAAGTGGCTGCTTTTTAAACTGCCCGCTTTGATGACAGTGTGATTGGCTGAGGCTCGAGGCTGGCAGAGCTGTGTGATTGGCTGAGCTCGAGGCTGGCAGAGCTGTGTGATTGGCTCAGCTCGAGGCTGGCAGAGCTGTGTGATTGGTTGGCTTGGAAGGGGGAATATGCACTCGGTCTTTCAGTATGAATTTTTGCGTTCAGCTTCATAATTAAAATTAAACATCAACAGTATGAAAAGGAGGAGAAAGAGATGCGGTTAGTGTTTGATGTCTTCATAGTGACATAGTAATTTTGTGTTTCTTTTTTGTACTGTGTTTATATTGCTTCACATTCACACGTACTACAAGCATCTTAATTTAGTGTAGTGCTTTTCACGACTTTCAGAGAGAGTTTCACCAGTACCCTGAGCTAACAACAGCTGCAAGGTTTTTGTTCTGTTTCAACTTCTCTCGACAACAACACTTTAGAATCAGATGCAGAACACAGACAATAACGCCCTGGTGTTGTCAATCAGTAAAACACCAATCAACTCCATATGCAAGTCATAACAAGATAGGAATAAGAATTACACAGTTTAATTTCTTGTGTTTGCCCTCGATTATAAAGCTAATTAGTTTGGTAGAAGTGATCAGCCATGAGAGTTGTGCTTTTACCTTCAGGACTGGAGCCAAGAAAATGGAGACTCCGGTGAGGGTGAAAACCAGGAGACCAGTCACTCGCTGCTCCCTGAATTATAAACAACACACGTTTTTATTATTAGTATTTTATGGTTCTTTTAAAATAGTTTTACGTGACACTAATAACATATGATTTACTGATGTTTCCATGACAGGGGGTGTACTCATGGGGTTTCATTATGATGAGAGATTAGGACAGCTGCCATAGCAACCAACAAACACTGATATTTTGGTGATGTTTTAGTTCCCCATTTTTATTGGGTTCAAGATAAAAAGACAAAATTCTCTATTTGTCGTAGTGAGAATGTTTACTTCAATGATGTAGAGCTGAGGGAAAAAGCTTGTTTATCAAAATGGTGACAAACATATTTTGGAAATGAAGTTTCACTTGCCTGAATCTCACACAGTTCAGGCTTTCATACAGTAAGTGGGAGGAGAACAGATGAATTTGGATTACATTGAACCCATCATTTATTGAAGTAAAGGGAAGGAGAACTGGGGCTCAAAGGTCAGAGTTTGGTGCCAGAATGTTGTTGCAGAAGATACCCACGCACACAGGGACATTATGCACATGCTGTAATTGTAGTATGGTCAATTAACTGATGAAATTGACTCGAAAATAATAATATTGCCATCACAATGCTCAATCGATCGTTGCTATCAGATACGTAATCTGAAGGATCTGCTAAAGCCAGGGGTCTCAAACCGGTTCCAGAAAGGGCCATGTGGCTGCAAGTTTTACTTCCAACAGTTCCAAACTGAGCAGGAGCACAGTTGACTCCACCCATTTCCTCAGGTGAGTCCAGTTTTAACCTGAAGATTTGAGGAAATGGGTGGAGTCAACTGTGCTCCTGCTCAGTTTGGAACTGTTGGAAGTAAAACTTGCAGCCACATGGCCCTTTCTGGAACCGGTTTGAGACCCCTGGCTAAATCTGTTTCAATTAGATTTATCTTTGCTTTCTCCGTAACTGATGTGACACACTGCACCTTCTTCAGAGAGGATCAGGTTTTGAGTGTGGGATTTGTGAATAATCGGTGAGAGAAGGGTCATATACAACGTTCTGTATTTAGATTAATGGGAGTAAACCAAATGGCTGTATTTAGATTATTACTCAATCATGTACAATAATTGTTTGTCATTTAATGGTCTTAGTTCCCATGTATGAACATAAAGTTATTAAAATTGGATTGCATGTGAAGAAGATGTGCCAAGTCTGGGATCGCGTCTTTAATTCAGACAGAAGACATGTTTTATTGTCGATGGTAGAGACAGCACGAACAAAGCACACGATCACAGATACAATAGAATGCAAGTGTATTATACAGAGCGGAGGCATGGAGACCTCCAATCAGCAGCTGCCACGGTGTGCTTGTAGCTTGGCCTTCAGATAGACAAAACAAGGGAAAAGTACTGGCTTCTGCACATTGATAGAATGATGAGTTTAACTTTAACAAAAGTTGCTTCAAAGTGTTATGAAATCTCACACATGTCTCTGCTTAGGTATTTTCAGGTGTGATGGAGAACAAAACGAATTAAAGCCGCAAGCGGCATCTAACGGCCCTCGCCGCACCGCGCAAAAGAGGTGGCGCTAACGCGCCATTTTTTCCCCCCCCCTGATGGGAGCGACACTGTGTGTTTTGAACCTATGATTAGTGATTGTGTGTGTCTATTGAAAAGGTAAACTTGATTCTCCCCATGTAACACTTGACTCAGTCTCTAGGGGGCGCTATTGCTGCAATTTCATGATTTACACTTTCAGTTTACCCAAACCCAAGAGTTGAACAATCAATTCAAATTTTGTGCAAATCGGACTTTGTATGTGCAAATGGTGGCATTTAATGTTGTACAATAGCGCCCCCTACAGTTTCAATGTATTAGTTTTATACCAAAGAACACCAAAATAATACACTTTATGCCTTGTGGCAAAGTTTGGTGAGTTTTCGTGTTTGTTCAGTGGGTCAAATATGAGATCAAACAACACAAAACCTAAATTCCTGTATCCCCATGTATACCTTTAGTCAGCCTGTAGGGGGCGCTAATGGGCCAATGTAATTTTTCCCACTGTCATGTGACCTAGGCCCAGGAGTTGAACAATAGAGTCAAGTTTAGTGCAAATCCGAGTTTGTGAATGTGCTCCTGTTTGTACATACAATCTGTGAGTGTGTCCACACAGTCTCCATTGGATAACATGGGAACTTCACACCTCTTTGGGGGTCTGTCACGCTCAGACCGTTTGACTAATTAAAACTCTATATTCAACTATTGATGGTCCATGTGTGGACACCATGTGGAGCGATTTTCAGACAAATTAGGGAAACGGCCGCCTCTGGTTTGATGTTTGAGCGAGGTGTACTTTTCAGAGATTTAACGATTTTCTCATAGACACAGACAGGGGAGTGTTGGTCGTCGCCACGGCAACAGGGTAAAAAATAATCATATGTTGTCATTGACTTTTTGAATCCAGATGACAAAACAGAATTATGTGCAAAATTTCAAACATTTTGACAAAACTAAATTTTAAAAAGCCAATGTAAAACTTTAACATAGTCTGTAGGGGGCGCTAATGAGCCAATTTCAAAATTTCCACTTTCAGATGACCTAGACCCTGGAGCTGAACAATGGATTAAAATTTTGTGCAAATCCGGCTTTGTTTGTGCAAACGGGAGCAAATTTACTTTTGTCAAAAATCCCCAAAAAAATGTCACATTTTGCCGCTCCGCTGCTCGGACAACGTTTAATTGATCCAAATTCTATATTCAATAATAGATGGGACATGGGTTTAGACCATGTGGAGCGATTTTGAGACAAATCGGTGAAACGGCCGAGGAGGAGATAATTTCCAGCCAACAATAAACACCAAAAAAATTAATTTTTCGCCGGTTCTGAATTTTGGGCAAAATTTCACAACTTTTCATCAATGTTCAGGGGGTCAAATTAAGGTTCAAAGTGCAGAAGAAAAAAGAAATAAATAATAAATAATAAATAAACCAAACCAAGGATTTTTTTTTTTTAAATCTTCGAGCAAAAACAATATAGGTTTCCATAGTAACCTATAATACAAATGATACGTCGTTTTAAAGCGAACGACCAGACGAACGCAACTATTGGGTTCTCGGTGATTGACGAGCGCTGACGCGCTCGTCAATCACCTCGCCATTATGAGGTCACCCACCCCCCCCATAGGACCCCATTGATTACACTGTGTAGTAGCAGGAGCAAAGCCATTCAGTGCCTCCGGCACTGTTTTGTCAGTGTCTGGGCACGCGCCGTCGGGCTTGGGGGACAAATGTCCGGGCTTTGCCCGGACATTCGTCCATAAAACAGTTGAAGGAACCCCCCTTTAATAGGACTTCAATCATTTCACTGTGTACTACAGCAGGAACAAAGCCATTCAGTGCCTCCGGCACTGTTTTGTCAGTGTCTGGGCACGCGCCGTCGGGTGCAGGTCACAATCTCCGGGCGCAGCCCGGAGATTGTGAATTAAAACAGTTCAACGAGTAATGCCTGGGCTTCGCCCAGGCATTACTCGTTGGAAAAGCAATAGGCCCTTACCCCGGTTGGGGCTCGGGCCTAATTATCTAGTCATTACAAAATAAATAGGACAGTGCAATAATTACTTTTAAAATATGATTGCAATGGTTGGACAAATCAAGGAGAACATGTGACTATTAACATTCTGTGAGATATCCTGAGAGAGGGAGAGGCTTTCTGTCAGCTTTAAAAAAAAAAAAACCCAACAAAAACGCATGCACACTCATCCAAAAGTCTGCTGAACAGTGGCTGCGAACGGGACCACTGTGCACACGTCTAAACCTGGACCCAACAGATCCCCAGTGAGCGTACCTGACTCCAAGGAACTGCGGCTGCTCCCCGGGCGCACTGGACTCGCTCTCCATCTTCAGAGAGTCGATGTGAGCGATGGAGATGACGGTGGCGGCCACGTACCACGGCAGACCCAGGAAGGAGCAGACCGCCATCAGCACCCCCACCCACAGCAGGTCCAGGTGGTACCCACAGCCTTTCTGAGGGTGCACAAAGACATTGCTTACGACCAAACGGAAAGAGGCGGATTGCACTTTTAAACATTATTCTTCTGAGTGAAACGGAACCCGGAATCGCTCAAGCTACACCTTCCAGTAGGTTGTTGTTAATTATGGTGAAGGGTAAGCTGAAAAGGTAGTTCTCGGTAACTATGGGAACTGTCATAAGTCGTGATTCTAGTGTTGGTTTGAAGCCATTTTTATCTGTAATTCCTGGGCCAACCATGGTCTAATTATGTTCTCCTCAAGGTGATATTAACTCATAGAAGTGGTGACAATATATAAATGAATTTTAAAAAAAAATGCTGTGGGCCATTCAAAAGCACTTTACACACTGTAACAAATTTCTGTAAAATTACAATGACATTTCAACATTAAACAAATGTTATTTTGAAAAACAATTCAAACCTGCAAATTTAAGTATAAATTGGTTAGAAAACATCCAGTGGCGTTTTATTACCACAATTATAATGTGTTAATAATATAATATGATTACAAAAAACGTTACAATAGCATAAAATCACATTTGATTACTGTTTTTAATATCAATTTGTTGTATTTTTGGGATTCTGGATAATTTTTGCGAGCGAGCAACCATGAGTGTAAGAGGCGTACACTCCTGCTTTTCTTAAAATGATGCTTTAGCGTTCAGCATGTTATAGAAGTAAAGATTTCAACTATTGTCTTGTATAAACTGAAGATGTTAAAAAATAAATGAAAAATTGTGTTCAGGAAAACAAAATGAAACTGTAGTTTTTTGTTCAATGAAACTAATTAGAAACAGAAACAGTCGTATGGTGTAATATACAACATTAACATTATAAAGCTTTTTTTGTTGTATGTGAATGAACAGGAACAGTTAAATCCTGAAATCACAAAGTCATAATGTGATTCAGTAAAACAGTCTTTAACCGTTAAAATTAGCAACGGTAATGCCATGTTGAGAAAACGGTAAATCCCTGGAACCATATTTGCCAGCTTTTAAAAAAAAATTCTACAAGGAAATTCTTTACAGTGCAGACATAAGAATTATATGGCAGCTTTGTGAATCTAATAACAAATAATTACCTATGAGACCACATCATTCTATAACTTTTGTGTAAATGAGACAAACTCTGGTCCTTGTTTACATTGTTGTTTCTATGGTTACCACCTCTCAATATGTTTTTGACACTGCACAATAGCAGCTTTTGCTTTTAAAACATCAGTAAACAAGTAATCAGTATGTTTGCAGATCTTTTCAATGCAGCTGATTTGAAATAAGTGTTAAATATTTGCATGACAGTCTTTCCCCAGCGGTAATAGTGCTTTAAACAAATCTATTGAAGTTGGATCATAGTTCATTTATCTGCTTTTCCTGGCATCTCTGTGAACGAGTTTCGGTGGATCGGCCAATTCATCTGTCGTCGCGTTCCAAGCAAAACCCATTAAAAGTGATGGGACATGACATAAAAGTGCTTGAAACCACGCCAACTGCTTGATCTCAGTCTGACTTCCACCTTTTCCCTCTAAAAGATAAGATTGAAAACAAATTAGCTTGTACTCATTTGGTAGGAAAAACCCCGACCCTAACGCTTTTAACTGGCTTTTTCGCACATCTAGAGGGCCCACTTCGAGTAGTCATGAATGAATCTGACTGACCCTGAAAACTGCAGTGTATTTGGAATTACTTCTGCAGTCGCTAAACACATTTCATCCCTTTATAATTATGGCTTTTATCAGACGCTTTTGGTTGAAATTGTAGTTATGTGTGCACTATTACTCCTGAATATCTCGCTTTATATGTTGTAGCATTTGGTGAAAAAGGTCAATTTCACCACTCCAAGACATTTGAATGGGCTCAATAATTATATCCACAAAGCTCAGATTTTGTCCACTTTCAACCAGTTATGAAAGGCCGCTGCTTTTCTAAATCTTACTTTGAGTTTGTTCTCTTTGCGGTTCACAATGACGGCGCTGATCTGCTGGTCCATGAAGATGAGAATGGTGACGAGGAGTGCGGGGACCGAGCTGGCCACATACACCCACCAAGGGTTTTTCCCAAAGGGCATCACGAGCCAGCCACGGCCAGGGCGGGTCGGCTGCTCGGGCAAAGAGAGGGAACACTTCAGCAAATAGACTGACACACACAGGGAGACCACGGGCTGTCACACATATACAGGAAACATCAGAATTCAGACCATTTTAGGCGTTTCACATTTGCTTACTCTTGCTTGCTCGTGCAGCTACAAGGTCAGTGGCCAGAGCTGAGGTGCCCTATAGACACACTGTGATTGGACAATATATTCTCTCTGTTAAAGGCTCTCACATTGGAACAGTATCCCCCACTCTATATGAGAAATCCCCACTTTTATGAATACATTTGTTTTATTTATTTGACGGGGACAATGCAGTCAGTTATATACTATATATGCAGCTGATGTGGTGCATATATAGTTTATAGGCCATGCTAATCTACAATCATCGTCCTTGGTTGGGCTTTTCTACACTAACGTTAAGCAGTGTAGAGCAAGCAGATATTTCTATCATTTGGTCAAAAAACGGGAAAAAAACCACAGCCCAAACTGTATCACAGTTTTTGTAGAAATTAAATAATCAAACACATATCCCATCGAACTAAACCAATAAGATGCTCTTTTACTTTACACCTGCAGTTTATCACCTGGATTGATCAATATCCATCCATCCATTTTCTTCCCCTTAATCCATTTCACGGTCGGGGGGTGGCAGTCAGAGCTGCACCCAGTACACTTAGCACCAGCCCCTCACTGATCCTCCTGCAGGGGGTGAGTCCACAGGAGCTGAGATCATTCAGCGGGGGCTTCAGGCAAAGTGGGTTTAAGTGTCTTGCCCAAGGACACAACAACAGCAGTCATCAGTGGGAGTCGTGAAGTAGGTCTTATGGTGGGCTCGAACCCACGACCTTCAGGCTCTAAGGCCAATGCTCTACCAACTGAGCCACTGTCGCCCCATGATCAATATCCCCTCGTAAAAAAGTCATGGCTGGAGCAAATGTACAAGAAGAGGCCTCCATTATAAGATCAATGAAAGCTCTTGAAAATGTCCCCCTTAATATCCATAAAGGAAAATGGTCTTTCCAGGGGTTGACAGTAACATCTGTGATAGTGGTGCTCACCTTGAACTCAGTCGGGACGATGAGTTTGGGGGTTTTTAGCCCCATCAACATGTCGAGTCCCACAAACGTCATGATGGACATGAAGATGGAGAAGTCACTGATCAGTTTCCTCAGCTGCAGAGACACAAACAACACAAACAGTATTACATAGAACGGCAAAAAAGAAACACACATCTATCAGTAATATTCATAAAACATACATGATTTCTGTCTGCTGAGTTGTTAAAACACACGAGACATGCTCAATTTCATTTTCAACATTTCAAATCATAATATTGTTCAATATTGACTGAAAATTGCTGCGCTGGTTTTTGCCTGCTCCATCACGATAGTCACGGTAAATACCATCACAACAAGATACTGCGTTGCCAGGTTTACCACAGCTGCAGTTAACAGTAGTGAGCGGTGGGTTTGAACACAAATGGCAACGCAATACTACTGAATCGTCCAGAAAACACCTGAACGTGAAAGAACAGAGCGTGCCTGAGGTAGAGGGCGAATAGGAGAATTCTCAGACTGTAAAAACACAATATTGAAAACTGTATTGTGTTTTTTTTATATATGTATAAAATAAAATAGTCTGCACACTTCCATGTTCAACCCATCCATTCATTCATTGAGTAAAAGAGAAAGAAAAAGGAAGGAGGGTCTCAGGACAGTGGTGACGATCCAAGACAGTTAAGGACATTTATGTACATTTAACTCATTGACTGTCAGCCGTTTTTGATGATTTCACTGATTCTCAAGACCCACAGAATATTATTTCCTAAGACTATGTGAAAGGTCAAACCAGATTCTGAAAGACTGGATTGTCTACTTGGATCAGCAAAAATAAGTTTGTTTTGATCTATTTTTATTGTCCTGTAATCCCCAGTGGAATAGAGGGTCTCACATAAATACAGTACGTCAATGGCAGTCAATGAGTTAACATGTACAGACGTTGGTCATCCGCTCCAGGTGTACCATTGAAACCAACAACCGCACTTTCACATTTGCATGAAACAGCTTGAGTATAGATTGGCCATGGAGGAATCCTCTGTATCAGGGCTAAGAAAGTTGTACATTTTTCTTTTTAATGTTAGACACCGCGTGAGAGTGAGTCAAGCCTCCATCTCCAGGACCACTGCCTTCCTACTGTCCCGCTCTGCTTCCCCCACGACTACCCCACAAGTGCTCCGAGCTGATAAGTGCTGCACGTGCCGCTCTGCGCTGCCACTGATGCGTCTGCTTGCGGTCTCTGCAGACGCACACAGAGCGAAGAGAAAGACTCCCTGGACACGAGCTTCGTTCCTGTGTCCTGTGCTGATGAAAGGCTCTATTAAGCCTCGTGAATGGGACTGCAGGTATTCACAAGGTATTTTTACTTTGACCAATTACTTACTAAATCATGCTTTATGTAGTTGCTCAGTGAGTTCATGATTCGCATTATGTACATTACCTTTGTGGGAAAGTAACGACTGAACTTAAACTTCTTCAGTGTGACGGTCATGGAGTAGGTCCCAAAGAAGAGGATGAAGGACATCAGAGCCAAATCAGGGACAAATTTGCACGATTTTCCAACCAAAGATCCTCCGTAGGTCAGGCAGTCCTTTTTGCTGAGCTGGGTCCAGTCCACACCTGTCAAATTCAACTGCAAGACCAAAACAAAGAGACAAACAAGACAAAAACAAGGACATTTTGGGTTTTGTCCAAGGCTTTATTCAATCAAAGTCTGAAATGTTGGAATAGAAAAACACAGACTTACCCCAGACAGAGATGAGGTGTTATCTGGCACTGGAACTGAACGTGGGAGATCATTGCAGCCACTGAGCAGAAACAAAAGAGCACAAATATGAATTAAAATACTGCTGCTGCCAGGCATAGAACAGCAGGGATCCAAGATAAACCAACATTATGAAATTTGGCTCATTAATAGTCCATCCATCCATCCATCCATTTTCTTCTCCTTAATCCATTTCTGGGTCGGGGGGGTGGCAGTCAGAGCTGCACCCAGTTCACAGAGCACCAGCCCCTCACTGATCCTCCTGCAGGTGGTGAGTCCACAGGAGCTGAGATCTTTCAGTGGGAGCTTCAGGCAAAGTGGGGTTAAGTGTCTTGCCCAAGGACACAACGACAGCAGTCATCAGTGGGAGTCGTGAAGTAGGTCTTATGGTGGGCTCGAACCCACGACCTTCAGGCCCATAGGCCAATGCTCTACCAACTGAGCTACTGTCGCCTCATTAATAGTCATTTAGCTAAAAACAAATGCCAATGCTATCGTGCATAAGGGAAAAAATTGACAAAATATACATTTTCTGACATGGTCTTGTACACAGAATGATATTTATGGATAATAATATACAATCGCATAAAAGGTTTTCTTCTACTCACAGTAAAATCAGATTTTTTTTTTAAATTTTCACTTTAAATCAAAGTCTGAAATGTTGGAATACAATGATACAAATATAAGTTTGATATAGGTCTTAAAGCTCGGGTACCTAAGTTTTCAACAACAACATCTTAGCACATTATACTCTTCTTAAAAGTATAATGTGGAGAGATTAGAACAAAACATGCATCTCCATCTTATCAGAAAACATTTAATATCTTGCATACTTGTAAGAAAGAGCCCTGTGAGTCACTCTTGGACTCCTTGGGCTGAGAGCTGATTGGTCGAGTGAGGGTGGTCATATCGTTTTCATGTTTCTGACAGAAGCCAAACATACATGCAGGAACTAGAACCAAACAGTTTTGAGAGAATGGAACAACATTTCGTACATAGTTGAACCTTTTGGGGTTTTGAAAGTTAGACTCCAGCTTTAAGTTTTGGTTCTCGTCGGCCAATCCTGTTGTATGGCAGTGCAGCGTTTGGAACATTTGCACCGTATAGAAGGAGCTTCTCAAACTTTAAGTTAGCTGAAATCACATCGGACCAAAGAGGTTGTATTTGAAGCATTCAAACATGCAGTGTTTTTGGACCAAATTTAACTTTTGAGTCAGATAAATGATTAATTACATCAAAAGGCTTTAAGAATTGTATCTGGAAACATCAGCTCATGACTAAATAGGTCCAGTGCCCCACTTTGAGAATAAGTGTAGTATACTCTTTGTTGTTCATTCAAACATGCTGAAGCTAAAACAAGTAAAAGAGTATACTTCAAATACTTACTTGCAAAATACAGCAGCCACGTTGATAGAGCATGGCAAAGATGGCAAAGATAGACAAGACACAAATGAGTTACAGAAATCATTGTCCACTGAAAAACCAGTTACATTCGTCACAAGGGACAAACAGTATTATTCATTCCCATCACAGCCATTTGAGAAAACTTAAGCTGCAGGACAGAGGACTGCTCATATAATTTTCGAGGCATCTGGCAACTCTGCACACGACTTCCATGATAGAGATCCATGTGTGTCAGTGCAAGGACACAGATTAACCGATGATTTAAAATGTTCAAACCTGATTGCATAATAAATAAATAAGTATGTGGAGGAAAGAGTGTGATGCCTATAGCAGAGAGTGAGTAGTGGGGGAGAGGTGTTGGGTCAGAGAGTGTTTGTGGTCAGTGTGTGCTCAAAGTTAACTAATAATTTGGATCATTGAGACACTTTTAAAAGTCTATTTTACAGCAAAATGTTGAATTAAGTTGCGAAACATGCTAAATGTGAATTGTTTCTTAAAGGTCCCATGTTTTTTTTCATTTTTCACAGTCCATCCTAAGCATGTGTAATGATAATTATCTCCTCTGTGTGGTCATGGCAACAGTTGCTAAGGATCTTTTGCTGGTTCTTATTGACTCACTTTCCTCAAGAATGTTATTAATAGCGCAGAGGACAAAGAATATATATAAAGAATATATTTGTAATTTCTTGAGTGTTTTTACCATGGTATAAACAGGTTAGGTATGGTTCAAACACACTCTGTGCCTCGTGTCGTTCTAGACTGTGCATTGTGTAAACTGTACAACCGCACTGCTCTGAGTTGCTTAATCCTTACATATATATTATTATTATTATTATCATTATTATTATATTGTCTTGTCTGTATTGAATGTTTGTAGACGTCCGCTTCAGCCAACCCCTTCGCAAAACATATATGTATAAATGCATGTTATTTTGTTTGTGTAGATTTGCAGTGTACATGTTCTGTTTATAAACATCATCATGTCAATAGGGCTGGAAAGCGAAAGTGCGAGATTTCCACTTGCGGATACAAACAAACCGCACGTGCCAGTTGTATGGTGCTGAGATCGCAGACTTCTTTCTCCTTAATGGATTTTTCGGTGTTGTTTTGGACACATTTCGTCTCTGGGACAAAAAAACTGAGCGAGAGGTCGGAATTAGCTGTGAACTCTGGTCATGTCCGGACGTTTCTGTATGACGGGGAGATGCAGGTGCAGGGCCGTGTTCAAACATACAGTCTATGGTTCAAACTCATTGTATTTTAATCCACTATAATGCATCAGAAAGAAAATATAGAACCACTATTCCCATGCAAATAAATTGATGTTGTCCCACAGATATCTTTGCTGCGATTTGGTCATAAGCCAATGTTTATGAACGACCAGTTTTCTATCTGTTCATCAGCTCCATCTTCACTTCACACTCACTGCAGCTTCACATTGGGCCTTTTTCCTTTCTGCTGTCAAAAATAACATGATGTAGTTGGGTTACCTATTCATTTAATACTAATATTATGATTGTCTGTTTTCTGTTATATGCATTGTTCCTCCTTCGTCTGTCAAATAAATAAAATACAAGCCACAATTAAAGGTTCGGCCGCGCATTATTTACAGGTTAGCATTAGCTACAAGTTAGCTTGAATACATAATCATGTTTATAATCTTTTATCAGAACTGCATAGCTTTTCCCACAGCTTCAGCTGGTCTTTGGGAAACCTAAATGATTAGCCGAAAACAAAGCAGAGCATTTTGCACCATTCCATTAAACCGCCTCTTCCAACAGCTGGAGGATTGTTTGTCTTCGAGCAATGAACCGGAAGTGCTTCTGGGACAAAACTTTCCAGCCCTATTGAGATTGAGAGTTCAATTTAAATGTATTTATTTTGACAACTTTTTTAAATGTTTGAGATCCGATGCCTTGTACTCTAAACATTTGTAGCTTCAATGTGAAACAGAGAATTTAGCAGCACAGCTACTCTCAACATAACCTGGTTAAGAAGCATATGTCTCCTTCAGCCTCGAATATAATTTCCTCTTGTGTTGAATATACCATACTGTTGCATAATTCACACAATATTGTGAATAATTTACAGCTTAATGGCTTTTCTATGAGGAGAGATTTTCTAGACGTTTGATGAATGGACCTCCCCAAGGTCTTCTCACCGTCATTAACTTGTTATTTTCAAACATAAATATGAGTGGATCAGCCCATAATAATTCATATATTTAACAGTCTTTTCACCCAATGTTTCCTGGAACCGATATTAAACTACTGCACATTTATCATCAAGCAGGAGGAGCTCCAGAAAATGATATATATATATATATATATATATATATATATATATATATATATATATATATATATATATATATATTAGTGCTGTCCAACGATTAAAATATTTAATCGCGATTAATCGCATGAATTTCATAGTTAACTCGCGATTAATCGCAAATTAGTCACCCATTTGCGTGCTGTGTGCAATTGCTTTTTTTATTGAAAACAATGTGTAGTGTTATATTACACACTAACATTTGATGCAAAATCATCAATAAATGGATGACAAAATAAATAATTGGTAACAAAAAGCCCCTTCAATGTGTGTGTGGAGTGTGTGTGTTTTATGGGTGTGGGTGTGTGTGTGTATGTGTGGGTATAGACCATAGACTGTATAGAAACATCATGGTGTCATTATGATGATGATAAACAATTTTTTTGTAAATTTGTTCATGTAAATACTCTATGCTGTTTCTCTGTTTACTTTCGGTATATCTATGACTGTATACTGTTTGCTTGTATTGCCTTTTTTATTAACCCCTCCCCCCCATCTCCCACTTCATGTCCCCCCCCTCCTATGTGCCCTTCTGGGTTTCTTCTTTGGCCCCCTGTATCTCCAACTACATATTGTTTGTAATCTCTGTCTACAATGTATCTTAACTAGTCCTTTTCTTTGTGTCTATTTTTTTCTGTATATGTGTTTGTCTGCAATAAAAAGTAAAAAAAAAAAAAAATTTTTTTTTTTTTTTTAATAATTATAAAAAAAATTAATGGCGATAAAAAAAATGACGCCGTTAATATTGATTAGCGTTAACGCGTTAATAACGCGATATTTTGGACAGCACTAATATATATATATATAAAATGATATATATATATAAAAGATATATATCCAACAACTGTTCATTCAAATTATTATTGTGCCAAAGAAATGATTCATTTTATCGATTGATTCCTGGAGGTTTTTTATGATGTTTTGTTTCCAAACTGTAACGTAACTCTTCAATTCTTGCTTAATTAAAATCAACTCGGGTTTATTGACTGAATAATTGATTAAAAGAGGATTTATGGAAGTTTATGTGTGTATTTTGTAAATGACAAATGATATAGTATAAAAAATATAATAAGTTATACATTTTTTTTAACCTTTATTTAACCAGGAAAGTCCCACTGAGATTGGGCAGGTCGGGGCAGGTCGGGGGCAGGTCGGGGGCAGGTCGGGGCAGGTCGGGGGCAGGTCGGGGCAGGTCGGGGCAGGACGGGGCAGGACGGGACAGGTGGGGGGCAGGTCGGGGCAGGTCGGGGGCAGGTCGGGGGCAGGTCGGGGGCAGGTCGGGGGCAGGTCGGGGGCAGGTCGGGGCAGGTCGGGGGCAGGTCGGGGCAGGACGGGGCAGGTCGGGGCAGGTCGGGGCAGGTCGGGGGCAGGTCGGGGCAGGACGGGGCAGGTCGGGGCAGGACGGGACAGGTGGGGGGCAGGTCGGGGCAGGTCGGGGGCAGGTCGGGGGCAGGTCGGGGGCAGGTCGGGGGCAGGTCGGGGCAGGTCGGGGCAGGTCGGGGGCAGGTCGGGGCAGGACGGGGCAGGTCGGGGGCAGGTCGGGGCAGGACGGGGGAATGTGTTATAGGGAACTTATGTCATGTTTTTTGGTCCGGGAAACCTTCCACCTCTAAGAAACCATATGCAAGCACAGGGAGAACATGCAAACTCCACTCAGAAAGGCCTTGAAACAAGGACCAGCCACAGTGCCGCCAAATAAAGCGTTATTTAAAACATATTTGTGCAGTTTTGATGTAAAAGTGAGTGTTCAGTTTAAACAGCTACATCTCTATATTTTGATTGGCACATTTAAAATGAATAAATAAACTGAACTAAATGTTTACACGGACATTTGTATTCAGAATAAAAACGTTTATAACTTTCTCTTTTGATAGGATTCAGCATTTTTTTGTGACATTTGGTCATAAGGTCAAAGGGGAACTCACTCGGGTCTGGCGCCACACACTCGCACTTGTAGGTGGTGACGTAGTCTGGCTTGAAGTCCGTGTTGATGGGGTAGTATTTGAAGGAGCCCACCATTTTCTTAATGGCGTCAGAGATGAAGATGAAGGAGATGAGGCTGGAGAAGCCCTCTTCAGTGAAGCGTGTCATGTATTTGATGATGTAGCTGGCGTCAAAAGCCACGAGCACAATGCACTGCAAACAGGAGTGCATGCCGATCCACAGCCGCAGCTCCATGTAGTCTATGCTGTTCTTTCTGCGGGTTTAGAACATTATATAATGATGAGAAAACCATGGAAGAACAGGAAAGGCAAAGAAACACGAGAGAGATCATTTAACGTGTTGGAAGTTTCCTTTTAGAGGGATTTACACGTTCCGCACACGGACAGGAGTTTGTGGAGAATGAAAAAACATCTTGCTATCACTGCAATATTTCCATCCTGTGTCTTTTATGAGGCTGTCTTAGGTCAACATTGAGATTTTAAATGTATGTGTTAAATGCAGTTGGAAGACAAAGCTCTCAATTTGAGTTCCCACCCTCGCCTACGGCCATGAGCTTTAGGAAATGGCCAAAAGAACGAGATCACAGACACAAGAGGTTGAGTTTTCCTTCAAGATCCACTCACAAAGACAGTTGATGAAGGGACTCAGTCCCTAAGTCTTCCTTCACTACATAGTCCCAATGTCATTAGAAGACTAGTGCTCTCACCGCGGGTCACATGACTCAGGCGCCTGGATAAAATATTCCTATTTTTGTTTTGTTTGTCAATTCAAGTTTGGATTATTTTAAGATAAGATAACCTTTATCCCACAGAGGGGACATTCCAATGTTATTATAGAAAACATTTATAATGCATTGGTTTTATATCGCGCTTTTCAGGAAAGTCAAAGACACTTCCCAAGTCATTATTATCTCACTCCATACACCATGGTAGTAAACTACTGCTGTAGCCACAGCTGCCCTGGGGCACACTGACAGAAGCAAGGTAACCAGAAGGCTTTTGTATGAAAGTAAGGCCACGTACTTGCAAATTATTTATTTATAAATAGGCCAAGAAGAGGAATGCTAATTAGCCACAAACTGAAGAGATGCAGAGAAACAGAACATAAACATTCCCAAACCACAAGCACCCTTTCTTCACTTCATGTTTTTCAAAGTAATTGCTAGATAACGAACAGACCAAATTAAACAAAAGTAAAAACTTACTGGAGAAGTTATGAACCACACTTGTGTCTAAAACTCACTTGCTGAATTCGAAGAGCAGTTTTTCAAAGATGAGGATGGGCCCAGTGGAGCTGAGGATGATGAGTGGCTGTCCTCCAAACATACAGAAGACTGAACCAGCCAAAGCAGTGCCTAAGAAGCTTTCCATCACGCCCTGCGGCAAAGAAACAACAGGAAATGCCTTCAAAACACAACACAATTGTGGGAACTTGTGAGAAGGAGATTATGTCAAGAAAAAAGTTACAGCTCTGTATTTCACAGTTGAAAGGAGGTTTCATATCCCTGAAGGACAAATGACAATATTACAAAACTCAAAATAATGTTTTGTTAGTTATTTCCAAGCTATAAATGACAGTCTATATGATCTCAGAGGCTCATGTGTCTTTCAGACTAGTTTGAACTGTTTGATTTGCTGATCTGTTTTTGAGGAATTGACAACGTTGTAAAGTCCTTTGAGACGATTGCTGTTGTGATTTAGGACTAAACAAAAATAAATGTAATTGAATGATTAAGGGGCCTAATATGTTTTTAGAATCAGAATAAAATATGTGCATAGTTTAATGTGTGTGTATGCACTGATACATTCATTTTCTTCCCCTTAATCCATTTCTGGGTTGGGGGATGGCAGTCAGAGCTGCACCCAGTGCACTTATACAATATGTACATAATATGATGTGTAAATACTGCTGTGCAAATACTTTTGAGGACTCCGCAGGATTAAACAACGATCTAAACAATGGTTAGATGCACAATGCAGAATCTAGAACGGCTTGAGGCACAGAGTGAGTGCAAATCATACAATCGCACTGCTCTGAGTTGTTAAATATGATTATACCAACACACTCATCAGGAAATACACATATTTTGTCCTCTAAAAAAACAGGTTAAGGGATTACTATACATTGCCAAAAGCAAAAAAAGCTCCTTAACAACTGTTGCCATGACCAAAATTAAGCTAGATTTAACTCGTGACCACAAACTAATTCATCATCCATACAGAAGATCTACGAGTGGTACACGGAGAGCATTCAGCAGCAGCTCTGGTCGCTCTGACAGTGTGTACACCTCTGTATGTGTGTACACCCCTGTATGTGCGTACACCCCTGTATGTGCGTACACCTCTGTATGTGCGTACACCTCTGTATGTGCGTACACCTCTGTATGTGCGTACACCTCTGTATGTGCGTACACCTCTGTATGTGCGTACACCTCTGTATGTGCGTACACCTCTGTATGTGCGTACACCTCTGTATGTGCGTACACCTCTGTATGTGCGTACACCTCTGTATGTGCGTACACCTCTGTATGTGCGTACACCTCTGTATGTGCGTACACCTCTGTGTGCGTACACCTCTGTATGTGCGTACACCTCTGTATGTGCGTACACCTCTGTATGTGCGTACACCTCTGTGTGCGTACACCTCTGTATGTGCGTACACCTCTGTATGTGCGTACACCTCTGTATGTGTGTACACCTCTGTATGTGCGTACACCTCTGTATGTGCGTACACCTCTGTACGTGCGCACACCTCTGTACGTGCGCACACTTATGTGCGTACAACTCTGTATGTGCGTACACTTCTGTATGTGTGTACACCTCTGTATGTGTGTACACCTCTGTATGTGTGTACACCTCTGTGTGTGTGTACACCTCTGTGTGTGCGTACACCTCTGTATGTGCGTACACCTCTGTATGTGCGTACACCTCTGTATGTGTGTACACCTCTGTGTGTGTGTACACCTCTGTGTGTGTGTACACCTCTGTGTGTGCGTACACCTCTGTATGTGCGTACAACTCTGTACGTGCGCACACCTCTGTACGTGCGCACAGTTATGTGCGTACAACTCTGTATGTGCGTACACTTCTGTATGTGTGTACACCTCTGTATGTGTGTACACCTCTGTATGTGTGTACACCTCTGTGTGTGTACACCTCTGTGTGTGCGTACACCTCTGTATGTGTGTACACCTCTGTATGTGCGTACACCTCTGTATGTGTGTACACCTCTGTATGTGTGTACACCTCTGTATGTGTGTACACCTCTGTATGTGTGTACACCTTTGTATGAATTGGAATCCTCAGAGACCAAAGAATTAAGCATCAGCATCGAACATGTTCCTTCCATGTAAATATGTCTAAATTATATTTCGATATGTTGCTCAAATAAAACAAGCTTTGTATGTAATTCAATAAGTTTCTACCCTTTTTTGCACTTAACAAAATCACGATTTTGCATCTCTTTATTTGCCACTTTTTTATTGTACATATTATATCCTGCATTTAACACGTTTGCACACTTCTTTCTTTACCAAAATCTTGAGTGATTCTATCCGTGCCAGATGTGACATGTACATTTCTCCGGTGTGAGATCAATAAAGTCTATCTTATATTATCTTCAACTCAAGATAATGAAAAACATTTCATTTACTTTGGGGAATGTAAAAATAAACTGTATTACATTCCGACTGTTCCCAGACCTTCAATTCAATTCAATAACTTTATTAATCCGTGAGGAACTTCATTTACAGACAGAGCACCGGTGGGGGTACACAAAAACACAGAGACACGCAATCTAAGAATAAATACAGTAAAAGAGCAGAAATGCAATATAAAATACATAAAACAGGTCACCAATTCAGCTGTTTAAAAGGCGAATTGAGGTGGGGAGGAAGCTGGATGTGGCCCTTTTAGTTTTGAATGGGAGGAACCTGAACCCACGCCCTGATGGGAGCAGACTGTAGTGAGAGTGCAGAGTGTGGGAGCTGTCTGTGGAGATCTGGGAGCCTTTCCTTAAAACTTTGTAATTGTAAATGTCTGTGAGTGAGTCTTGCTGCTGTCCTTCATTTTATCTAATAGATTTGAGAGTAGAAAACTTTAGAATAATACAATCAATTGCCGTAAAAGAATGCCATGAAGAAGCTGAATCTAAAAGTGCATTCATTGTAGCCCTGTCGAATGTGGCAGCAGAGGACTAACATGGGAGTCTACGGCTGCCAGTCAAAGTACTTATCTCCAAACCCTTCTGTGAAGCGCTGGTAAAGACCGTGAGACAGGAAAACTCTGCTTCTTCACTATTGGGGAAAGTAACTCCCAAAGAAAACTATTTGCCAGTAAATACTTTCTGGACTAGAAGCCATTATTTTGTTCAGATTCTTTTAACTCTGGCCTGTATAGATAGAGCTCCACCTGAGAGTCAAGGAGGGATTTGGACGCAGCTGCTGATCTACAGCTGCTGATCTACAGCTGCTGATCTACAGCTGCTGATCTCCAGAGCTGATGAATGTGTGCTCCATCACATTACTGCCTCCAGCTGTGTTTGAACAGCACTTTCTGCTGTGAACAGCAGAAAGAGGCGGCACAACCAGATCCCCAACCCAAAACCTTGTTACAACAATACACAAATCAGTCAAATATTAAAAACAATTTCATGAATAATTTAATAATGAATGAATGAATGAATAATCATAAAGTGATACATTCATTGCACATGAGTGAAATATTTAATTTAGTATTAAATAACAGTTTCTGAAATTACCATCAATTATAATTGTAGCAGAATTGATTTTTTTTTTCATTATTATGTAAAGCATCAGTTTGCTGACCTGATCATTTAAAAACAGCTCTCTCATTTCTTACCTTTTTAAAAATCTTTTTAATTTGTACTAATTCGTTAAGTATTTTGAATAGTATTTTATCTTATTTTGAAGCTTTGACATCTAACTTGTTTTGATTGTTTACTATTCCCCCTTCTCTATCACACTGACATTTCCCCACAGTGGATTACCTTATCTTCATTTTCATTTAAAGACCTTTAAAAACAATATGTAAATAGATTCAAAGTGCAGCCCCACAATTGTTTTGAAATGTAATTGCTACTGGTGTCCAGACAGGAAAACCAGCAGAAACCAGTGAAAGCTGAATGGAGACACATGTCGTCTGTCCCTGGCACCACTCTTCCTCCAAAGAATTAAGATTAGGAGAAAGAACAGTCCTCCTCTTCAGCCCCAAAAATCAACCAATCAGAGCAAGTGCCTCATAGATAATGTGAAAGTATGAGCAGTTTACAACATGTGGATAATAGAAAGGAGATGTCAGGTAATCACGCAGGTTATCAGGGAGATGTTTTTGACGAAAGACCCGTCTGTGTTTGTGAGTCCGTCTGTGTTTGTAAGTCCGTCTGTGTTTGTAAGTCCGTCTGTGTTTGTAAGTCCGTCTGTGTTTGTAAGTCCGTCTGTGTTTGTAAGTCCGTCTGTGTTTGTGAGTCCGTCTGTGTTTGTAAGTCCGTCTGTGTTTGTAAGTCTGTCTGTGTTTGTGAGTCCGTCTGTGTTTGTAAGTCCGTCTGTGTTTGTAAGTCCGTCTGTGTTTGTGAGTCCGTCTGTGTTTGTGAGTCCGTCTGTGTTTGTGAGTCCGTCTGTGTTTGTGAGTCTGTCTGTGTTTGTAAGTCTGTCTGTGTTTGTGAGTCCGTCTGTGTTTTTGAGTCCGTCTGTGTTTGTGAGTCCGTCTGTGTTTGTAAGTACGTCTGTGTTTGTAAGTCCGTCTGTGTTTGTAAGTCCATCTGTGTTTGTAAGTCCCTCTGTGTTTGTAAGTCCGTCTGTGTTTGTAAGTCCGTCTGTGTTTGTAAGTCTGTCTGTGTTTGTGAGTCCGTCTGTGTTTGTAAGTCCATCTGTGTTTGTAAGTCCCTCTGTGTTTGTAAGTCCGTCTGTGTTTGTAAGTCCGTCTGTGTTTGTGAGTCCGTCTGTGTTTGTAAGTCCGTCTGTGTTTGTAAGTCCGTCTGTGTTTGTAAGTCCATCTGTGTTTGTGAGTCCGTCTGTGTTTGTGAGTCTGTCTGTGTTTGTGAGTCCGTCTGTGTTTGTAAGTCCGTCTGTGTTTGTAAGTCCGTCTGTGTTTGTAAGTCCCTCTGTGTTTGTAAGTCCGTCTGTGTTTGTAAGTCCCTCTGTGTTTGTAAGTCCGTCTGTGTTTGTAAGTCCATCTGTGTTTGTAAGTCCCTCTGTGTTTGTAAGTCCATCTGTGTTTGTAAGTCCCTCTGTGTTTGTAAGTCCATCTGTGTTTGTAAGTCCGTCTGTGTTTGTAAGTCCGTCTGTGTTTGTAAGTCCGTCTGTGTTTGTGAGTCCGTCTGTGTTTGTAAGTCCGTCAGTGTTTGTAAGTCCGTCTGTGTTTGTAAGTCCGTCTGTGTTTGTAAGTCCGTCTGTGTTTGTGGTCCGGGTGGAAACAGGTGGAGACACAAGCTGCACATCCGGTTTAAGATTGTCCCAGGAGAAGAAGGACACAGCGAGACATGTGTGACAATCCTTCGTATTTGCAAACAAAAATATTGGCAAAGAACCAAGCAAATCTGTACCCAGCGTTTCTTGATGAGAACGGGGGAAAACCTTTTTGTTCAAAGTGTAACGTGGTTATAGTATAGTTCACTGACTTCAGGGTAGTTCCTTCAGTGTTTAAGCTAAAAAGAGCACTGGTTGACAAATTGTATCTTGCTTTATTTCAATGAAGCATGTCTTTTTGACTTTCTGTATTTTTTTTATCTGTGTATTTATATTTGATCAAAAAATGTAACTTTATTGTCCAGAAAGTATGTTTTACAGGGTCAGATTCATTAAATTGCCATTTGCAGTAAAACCACATTGGAATACAATCACAATAATTGCCCGCAAAATCCTGGGGACCGACATCTGGCTCTGTCAACACGTATAACTTGGCCAAAGCAGTACAGTTTATGCACTTGAATGTCTCCATTGTGCAGTAAATACATTTATTTCATGTGATCTGGCTTTTTAGAGCAGGATATCATCCATTTAACTTGTAAATCAGTAAATATGTTTGCCATTGGCGAAAGGCGTTTCAATTAACCAATTACCAAAAACATTTAGCATTGTAAAGTACATTAGATTATAATTTTGTTTTCAGATTGAGGATTGTTTAAATCAAAGTCCACATTATTGATTCAGTTCTGTGGATTCTCAGAAGCTGAAGTAGGGCATTTTTCTTCATGAGGAGTTAAAATCAGTTATATGTGAGGATGTGTGCTTGTTTTTCATCATATTCTGACAGGACACATTAGATCTGTGTCAGAAATGGGGCTGAAATGAATCAAAGACAGTCACTTACGTATATGGAAAAACAGGACGCACCGTGATAGAAGAAAATGTTTCAAATGAATTCAAATGACACACAAATTAGAGCGTCCTCCCAGACTCAGTTCAATCGCTACGGACTCTGTTTTGTCCTAGTTTTTCTTCATCTGCTTTCAAAATATAACAAGCAGCTGCATGAATAAAGGCAGCACTCACAGGAGTATTACTATGCTCTTAATTAAGATATTGAGTATGTAAATGTGGTCGTTTTAATTAAAGGTTAGAGACTTAAAGGGGTTTTGGCAGGGTATCAAGACGTATATTGTATAAATGCATTCTTCCTATTCTTCCCATGAAAATGTGTCTAACTAATTAACAGTGGATTTTATAAGGAAGTGTGAAATTACCCACAATAAGGATTCACCCATTTCATGTTTGATACTAATTAACACTTTATGATACAATACTACTCCTTATTACTCCTTATTATACGGCTCCTCACAGCAGCAGTAGAATGCTCCATTGATTTGAATGTAATTTCAAAACGTTCTACCGGTCATTATACACGGACCTGTCAAAACAATAATGACCGCTGCCCTTTGGCAACGCACTCTCTGCCTGTATTTCAAATGCGTGGATAACTCCGCAAGTAGTTCCGGCCACTCCGGAGCTAGCCACGCTCAATCAACACACTTATGAATACTTATACATATACATTCTTCACACACGTGCACGGAAATTTTCAGAATTTTCTGGTCTTGTCTTCATGACAAAAATACTATTTCTCTGCGTCAAAAAGCGATCGTGAAAAACCCGGAAGTAGTTCCGGCCGCTCAATAAACGCAAATGCCAATCAATCAATGCAATGAAATGTTAATCGGAGAGTAATTTATACATATCCAGTCTTAATACAAGTGCACGGAAGTTTTCAGAATTTCACGTTTCCGTTTTCATGACAAAAACACTGAAAAGAAGATCCCGAAAAACCCGGAAGTAGATACCGGCACATTTTAAGATACCGGCACATTTTTGGACACATTTGCAGAGGATCGAATTATGGATTTAGGTTAGGTTTATGTTTGGGTCACTCACCGCTGATGTTCAGGATTCTTTGTTCAGTTTTCATGCAGTTCCAGAGAGTTCTAGTTTGGAAGTTGCTAGCCTAACTGTTGCTAGCATAGCCACGGGAAAGCCTTTGGGAACTATTTTATTTTCTGTTATTAAATAAACCTTTCGGCATTCCTAAAAGTGGACTGAAGTTTATGTTGTGTGTTCTGTTGGTATAAAGACGCATAATAAGCGGGATAACGTATATTACGCAGGTCATTATCGGAAAATATCGGAAGCTTCGCCCTGTCGGTACTTATTTTCCGATAATGACCTGCGTAATATACGTTATCCCTTACATATTGATGCTAACTTATGCTTTAAATACAGAACAAGTTTTGTGCAAGTTAAGTTGAAAGTCTATATTGTAGAACTGATAAATCTGATCTGATGTATTTTCAGATTGACCCTAGTAGTAGTAGTAGTATTCGCAGCAGTAGTACAATTAGTATTAGCAGTAGTAGTAGTATCAATGCCTTTTATTTCGTACGCCAAGAAGAAGCAGACTTGTGGATTTTGTTAGTAAAATGCAATCACAGCCTTTTTGCTGTTGGTCTCAGCGAAGCCACCAAACACATTGATTTCATGAGGACGAGCCTCAAGGACAAAGCCATCACATCATGGATCACGTCCAACAGAAACGCTGCATTTGGACTAATATCACAACACAGGAGAATGCATTACGGTCTGAATGTAATTTAAATACTGCACTGTTTGCATGTAACTGAAGTTCAACACTTTTTACTCTGTCAATTAGTCCTTCATGTACTGCTGTGTTTGAGTAATTGCTCCAACAAACTGTTCTCACTTTGAAAGTTCTTTAAAACTTCTTATTAGAGTATGTGGAGTTCCAGTGTTAAAAGGGGCCAGGGTCGTACCTGCGTGTCAAGGCCAGATTGAGTCAGATATCAGCAGCTAAACAAGTCATATGTGGATGGGCGACAGCTATAATAAACTGTGGGACACCTGTGGCTGTAGTGAAAACTGGTGTTGTGTCCTTAGGCAAGACACTTCACCCACAGTATGGATCTGGTGAGTGTGTGAATAGGTTTTGGCATCTTTCATTCACTTTGGATGTCATGTGCACTAATACTCCCAGGCTGTGTTATAAAAATGCAGCAGTAGAGGTCAAAAGCAGACTTCTATAATTCATATCAAGTCTAGGTCTTCTTTTGAGAAACCAATGCATAGTTCCCTTCTTTTATCTATTATGCAGTGCTTTTGGGAGTGTGAAGGCAAAAGGTAGCAGAAGAGGAGGCTGTAGTCCGACTGGAGATCACTCTACCCTCACCTTTCCTCTTCCAGCTCTGCATTCTAACCAGTCTGCACCCACTGTGGAGTAGATCATTATCTTGAGCAAATGCACAGCGTGAGTCCCACCTGGTAGTTGTCCGTGGCGTCTCCCAGAAGACCTCCGAACGTGATGGCGTTGGTGATGCAGCCCAGGTAAATAAACAGGACAGCAGAGATGGACTGGATGTGGAAGCCTTCATAGAAATCGCTCGGGAACCAGGGAAGTTTGCGCTTTATGTCTAAGTACAGGCCTCCGCAGAAACTGGAGAGAAAGCATTAGTTTATGAATTTAACGAGTGTATGAATGAACTGAAGTCAGAATACCCAACCATGGAAGAACATGGGGAGTTAGTGGTGGTATTCTCTCTTGTTTGTACTGTGCGTTACATATAAAAAAGGTCAAATAATAATGTGAGTCGGTTTGATGAGCAATTAGCATTATTGTTAAAAAATCTATATTAATATACAAATAATAATAATAATGATTCAAGCGTTTTGTAAACAAATGGAGAAAGTCATACACAAATGGAGCCTACATCTGCTCATTCTGGTTGTTAATAATTCATGAATAGGATTAAGATATCTAGCTTGTGCTGTTTTTCCATTTTCACAACCCATCAGACAGCTATATCTGTAGACTGGGGACTTCAGACTTCCCCTGAACTCATAAGCGCCCCCAAAGGCCTGGTTCCTAGTCTCTGCTGGGGTAAAGTGGAGTTGAGGACAGAGGCAGATTCTTACCGTCCAGTGAAGGCCAGCTCCTCGCCGAGCTCGTGCTGCTCTGGCATCTCCTCATCATCAGACACATGGCCTCCTCCTCCTGCCGAGCCGTTCATTTGACCCTGTTCATTTAAGGAGAACCCCGACTTCCTTCAGGACGGAGCATACAAGGAAATAAATCTATCGTTAGACCATGAGCTTACTCAGGATCAAGACACTTTGTAGTTTTGAATTGTCTTTGATTCATGACGTGGATTGACTCAAAACCGCCCTGTACCAATCAATGTAGCAGATTGCAACTTAAAAGCATAAATCGTTACACCCCTACTATAATTGGTAAATAACTACAGCGCTTTAGAATTACCCAAAATTAAAGCAGCAAGAGGCAGAAACTATATACAAATTCAACTACGATTAAGTAAATTATGATAATATATTTCTGCCATTGCGCAGGCCTCAATGAATCCGGTATCGGGGCACACCTACTTTGTAAGCATTCTGTTACATCACATACGCTCATGTACTTTGATAAGACTTAATGAAAGCTGGACCTTTTCTCAGCGGAGGGGATTTTCTTGGGCGGCTCGATGCGTATTTTGGGGTCCCACTCTCCAGGAGGAAGAACGATCACCTCATCCAAAAACTCATCTATCCCAGCGATCAGGTCCTCGCGGTCCCTGGCTTTGTACGCGACGTCACTGAACAACTGAAGGCACAAAGAAAGACAGGGGAAAAAAACATGTTAGATGGAAATACACCATTTGATGACAGCAGTTTGATAGAGGCGACAGTAGATCAGTTGGTAGAGCATTGGTCTTTGAGCGGTCCTGGGTTCAAGCCCACCACATTGCCTAGAATGAGTCTGTGAATGGTTGTTGGTGGTCTGAGGGGCTGAGAGCACAGACTGGTTGCCTCGCTTCTGTCAGTGTGGCCCAGGGCAGCTGTGGCTATAGTAGTAGTTTATCACCACTGTGTTTTTCGTCTTTGAGTGTCCAAAAAAGCTCTATAAAAAAAAACCGATGCATAAAGCTGGGGTATGTAACTTTCTAACCATAGCTATGTAATCACAGTTACTTGTTTTTGGCTCTGAAAATATTGGGTTTTATCACTAGTTTTCACGTTCATGTATTTTTGTCTTCTTTCTCATCTTTAAATCAGAACATGGATGTGAAGTATCCACAAGAAAGAAATGATTATTACGTCATATTTTTGATCATGTGTAATGTCTAAAGGGTGGACAGCTACTTTCAGATCCCAAACTGCACAGTGACGACAGACCATAGAGCTCATGTAATATCAGCATTTATCATGTGCAAATACTAAATCATTTCTAACCTAATCTTCTAACTGTCGTCCGTCCCATTATCTGTCGCTTGTCCAAGTCTGCAGTGTGGGGGCTGCAATCTGTTCAACATGCTTAAAACTTCTATACCCGAACAACCTAACGATAAGAATACATTTTCTCTGGTTAAGGGAGAGTTCGGGCTCCGTCATACCAGACAAGTTTGTACATTACATAGAAGCCTGCCTCATTATAAGTACAGTCTGTATTTAGAACACATTATTCTCTTGTCTTCTGCAGGTTTGTGACGGATGACATGACATCGGCCACTGCGATGAATAAGCTCTCATTACAAGCACACGCAGGTTATGTAAAGCCAGAGGTCGCTCATTAGACAGAAGCCATGTGTCCAAGATTATATCAACAACATACATCCACTAAGAGACTTTAGTGGTTTTAATATCTGCAGTGATAACACAAGTCGCCACAAACTGTACCCGTCGAAAGCCGAGTTTCGCCGAGAATAGATAATGTGACCCCTATACCGGTTTTTATTTTTTTGGGTACAGGGTGGCAGCGGAAGAGGCCTCAGATTGCCCGGTTTTGTCTTCACAAAACACGCTTTGGTCGGCTACAAGGTGATAACTGACGACAACCGTGGCGACTTCATTAGTTTTATATAACATTTGCTTGACTTCTTCCCACTCCTTTTTGAGCTTTAACAGGAGTGAATTTAAAAAAAAAAAAGTATATATATATTAATGTATGTATGGATGTACATTTCTATCAAATTAAATCTATAATTGATTCCTGTTTATAAGCTTGAAATAAAATACAATCAATCAATACATTTGAAATCTCAAAATGGAACTACACAATATTATACAACTATGACTGGAATAAACAATTATTTTGGTAATCGATTAGTTGGTCGACTATTCTCTCGATTAATCAATTAGTGGATGAACTGAATACCTGGAGATCATGTTTGGGTTGTTTGATTAAAAATACTTTGTCAACACATTTTCATTTCATTCTACAGTCTTTACAGAATCATCTCAGTCATAAAACCTCGTCTCAGCCTGGTGCAGTCTACGTGAGGTTCCAAAAACAATTACTACATCAGTTCATAACCAACTATTTGGTTTGAGCGGAGCCTTTGAAGTGACTACAGACTGTTACACTCTCTGGATTATTTTGTATTTGCAAATTTAAGCTCTCTGATCTCAGGGTTTTGTGTGTCTCTCATTAGTTCTGCAATCAATTTGTTTTGAGATGCGTCACTATCAATAATGTCCATCTGTGATCCTAGAGATAAACCAGGGCCGAATAAATCTTCTTTATTGGAGTTGAGTGCATGTTTTACTGTGGATATAGTTTGACCAACGCAAAGGCCGAAGAAATTGCCAATCTATGACCACTCTTTATGTGTTTCCTACTTCTCAAAACATTGCTTCTGTATGTACTTGCTCAATGGCAGGACCTAGGTCTGGTTCAATAATAACTGCAGCTACACTTACATCATCCACCATTAGAGTTGCAATGGCCCGACCGATCTCGTTGTACGACTTGGCCTTTCCCTGAGGTCCCAAAAGGATGAACAGAAATCTGGAGAACAGAAATAGACGTTGTGACATCACGTTGTGTAAATTGGTGCCATGTTCACGGGTCACTCACCGAGTAGGCACCGGAACCTCGGTCAGACCCCCGAGTGTGGTGGCTTGGGCCAAACGGACAAAAGCCACAAAGGGTTTTGTGAGGAAATCCACCTCTCCCACCAATACGTTTGAGGCCTCTGCGTCTCTGGGGATCTTCTTCATGAATTTGTTTTTGAGCTGCGAATATACAAAGCAACAGTGTGGTTCATTATTCCACTTGCACACAAAAGAAAAGAAAACATGAAGACCAGGAGGAAAAATGATTAACCCCACGTTGTATCTTGTTTAAAGGCACCCAGGCGTATTCAACAAGAACGTTTGGTTTGTAACTTTTAATCTTAGTGCATGGTTTGATTCTTGAACTGTTTTCTCCAGCTGACTGCATATTACAGGTGAAAGTCAGAATATTAGAATATTGTTGTTATTCTTTACAAGCCGTGAGCCAATTATCATCATTATCTTTTACACACGTCGTCCAAATACATTTGGCTCTGGTCGGGGCGGAGTTTTGGAGATCAGGACCATGGACAGTTCCCAAACACTACTGTCTTCTCCAAACACGATACACACACATGACACACACATGATACACACGCACACGACACACACACATATGACACACACACACACACACACACACACGTATCTTTCTTTCTAATGTACTGTGATTATTTATGGTGTTAATGCTATCTTGATTTGTCCAGCATTTTGAGTTGCCTTGAATTGTGCTATACAAAAAAACTTGCCTTGCCACACACACACACACACACACACACACACACACACACACACACACACACACACACACACACACACACACACACACACACACACACACACACACACACACACACACACACACACACACACACACACATACACACACACACACACACACACACACACACACACACACACGCGTTTGCGTGACAAATGAGGACCTATGTCTGCACTGTGACATATCAGGACGTGCCTTTCTGAAGGTCCCAGAGACCTGAGGATCACATAGGGGGGAGCAGGGTGTGATCAGTAACACAGCTAGCTGTTGATATTTTGGTTAAAAGAAACTTTTTTCCCGCATGATTTTATTGCCACATATGAGGACCTTGACAGGTCTGAGTGACATATTAGGACCTACAACAAACACATCCGGTCTGAGTGACATATTAGGACCTACAACACACACATCAGGTCTGAGTGACATATAAGGACCTACAACACACACATCAGGTCTGAGTGAGATATTAGGACCTACAACACACACATCAGGTCTGAGTGAGATATTAGGACCTCTAACAAACATCAGGTCTGAGTGAGATATTAGGACCTACAACACACACATCAGGTCTGAGTGAGATACTAGGACCTATAACACATGCATCAGGTCTGAGTGAGTTATTAGGATCTTCAGCAAACACATCAGGTTTGAGTGAGATATTAGGACCTTCAGCAAACACATCAGGTCTGAGTGAGATATTAGGACCTACAACACACACATAAGGTCTGAGTGAGATATTAGGACCTACAACACACACATCAGGTCTGAGTGAGATATTAGGACCTATAACACACACATCAGGTCAGAGTGAGATATTAGGACCTATAACACACACATCAGGTCTGAGTGAGATATTAGGACCTTCAACACACACATCAGGTCTGAGTGAGATATTAGGACCTACAACACACACATCAGGTCTGAGTGAGATATTAGGACCTACAACACACACATCAGGTCAGAGTGAGATATTAGGACCTATAACACACACATCAGGTCTGAGTGAGATATTAGGACCTATAACACACACATCAGGTCTGAGTGAGATATTAGGACCTACAACACACACATCAGGTCTGAGTGAGATATTAGGACCTACAACACACACATCAGGTCAGAGTGAGATATTAGGACCTATAACACACACATCAGGTCAGAGTGAGATATTAGGACCTACAACACACACATCAGGTCTGAGTGAGATATTAGGACCTACAACACACACATCAGGTCTGAGTGAGATATTAGGACCTACAACACACACATCAGGTCTGAGTGAGATATTAGGACCTATAACACGCACATCAGGTCAGAGTGAGATATTAGGACCTACAACACACACATCAGGTCTGAGTGAGATATTAGGACCTATAACACATGCATCAGGTCTGAGTGAGTTATTAGGATCTTCAGCAAACACATCAGGTTTAAGTGAGATATTAGGACCTTTAGCAAACACATCAGGTCTGAGTGAGATATTAGGACCTACAACACACACATAAGGTCTGAGTGAGATATTAGGACCTACAACACACACATCAGGTCTGAGTGAGATATTAGGACCTACAACACACACATCAGGTCAGAGTGAGATATTAGGACCTATAACACACACATCAGGTCAGAGTGAGATATTAGGACCTACAACACACACATCAGGTATGAGTGAGATATTAGGACCTACAACACACACATCAGGTCTGAGTGAGATATTAGGACCTACAACACACACATCAGGTCTGAGTGAGATATTAGGACCTCTAACAAACATCAGGTCTGAGTGAGATATTAGGACCTACAACACACACATCAGGTCTGAGTGAGATACTAGGACCTATAACACATGCATCAGGTCTGAGTGAGTTATTAGGATCTTCAGCAAACACATCAGGTTTGAGTGAGATATTAGGACCTTCAGCAAACACATCAGGTCTGAGTGAGATATTAGGACCTACAACACACACATAAGGTCTGAGTGAGATATTAGGACCTACAACACACACATAAGGTCTGAGTGAGACATTCGCGATGTTTGATATGATCATGCAGCTTATTGGACAAAATTGTTCAGCCAATAAACAGAACTATATTTGAAGCAACAAACCTGATGACGCTCAGGCGGTTACCTTTTCTAAAAACATTAGAACGCAACATTTTAGCAATAGTGTGTGTATAGAAATAACAATATTTAAATTATGTCTTTTAATACAAAAGGCAAATGACTTGAGAGGCGAGGAACAAATTTGAGTAGGCCAAGATAAAAACTGGTAAAAACTACTGTTAGTAGAATTGTTGGATTTTCATTAAAGTGAATTAGAATATATTCAAAGTTTAGACAGTTTTGAGTTAACCTATGTGTGTGATGGGATGTGATGGACGCATCAGCAGCATTCTCTTCCATCCCCCATGAAACACAGGAAGTTAAATTAAGAAGAGCGTAGAGAGCATCTGTTTGGAGTGGCCTCGGGCTTACTTTGAGAGGGGCTATGTGTTTGCCCTGAACAGAGAAGCTATTGTCTTCACCTAAGGATGTTGGGACATGTGTTTCAATTATCATGGTATAAGACCAGGGTCTTTGTCCATTTCTTTGTCACTCTGCTGCTTTCCATCTAGCAGAGACCCGGACTAGATTGCAGTCTGTAAAACTTGTCTGTTTGTGCTGATGTCCAGATAACCTGTAGTTTTGAACCAGCGGCTGACAACATGTATTAAAGAGATTATGTTGTTGAAATGTGACTAGTTTATTCACAACTACCCAGGCCTATACCTGGCGCCGCGGCCGGCTTAGAAGGCCTGGGATGCCCACAGCGTCATCAGTCTACGCGCCTCTGTGTGGATCACACGTCTCTCTTCGGGCTGGAGCTATGGCTGGAGCATTTTGAGGGTTTTTAAGCAGGAGTCAGGAAGGTGGCAATCTTACGGGTGTTTGTGATTTTTTGGTTTAACAGCCTCCCTCTTAAACTTAATTATATATATAATTATATATAGGGATCAGGAGCTTTATGACCCGACCTACCCGCACCCGACATGACTCATATTTTTGAGGCATCCAACCCGCCCAAAACTGCGGGTTGACCGCGGCTTTCGGGCTGACCCGCGCATCACTACCCCTTAGGTAACACGTTGCCATAGATACACAGGGCCGATGGAAACGCTCTCAAACCGAGTCGAGTCGTGCCGAGTCGAGTTGAGGCAAGTAGAGTCGGGCCCGTGGAAACAGCCAGTGATAAGCAGGAACGCATGCACAACAAATATACTATATCATACAAGGCGGCCCGACTCCACCGGGCGCGCAAAACGGACGACGTATCCGTCCAAACGCGTCCGTTTCATCTCCGTTTCCTTTATCTCCATGAGGGTGAATGGAAGTGGCTCCACGGCCTGCAACATGCGTCATTCCGTCAACGGAGGGTGCAACGGACGCGGACGGACAAAATCGAAACAATTTTACCCGTCCGTCGACGCGTGTCGGGACCGTTTTCCATTGAAAATACAATGGAATAATATATTTACCACATTATTTAACATGTATTGATATATGCTGTAGTCCTTGGTTATAACTGTTTGTTAATGACAATGAAACAAAATGTGTGTCATTTTGTTTCATGTATTAAACTGAAATAATTGTTTCCAGATCGTAAATCTACCATTTACTTTTTGCGCAATGTTAATACGCTAAACTTTACATACACCTCGCTCTTTTAGTTCTTGCTCTGTCCCTGTCTACCTCCGAGGCGCTCTCTCCTCACCGCCGCTCCACACACACACACACTGCACTTTTGCACGCCCACGCACACAAGCACGCAAATAATACATTACTCCTCCATCAGCCAAACATTCATTTATTCACACAGTGTCCAAACGTGTCTACTACAAAAACAAAGCTCAGGGCTGATAAACGCACAGCCAGAGCTGCTGCTGCTGGAGCCGGTGTGACCACTACTCCGTTTTACAGACGTCTGACGGGCAGCAGCTAACGGGCGTAAACGGAGACGCGCCCGGTGGAGTTTGGTCTGACTTTCATGCCGCACGTGCCACACACACACTGGCACGCACACACACGCCTTTCCACACTCGCGCACCCTATTTCCCCGTTCCATTCATAAGTAACATCCACACGCATTATCCATTCTCTCGTCCTTCTCTCCCCTCCCCGGGTCAGAAATACATTCAAGCATACATTTACACACACATTTAGGCTATATCCACACGAAGACAAAACGCTTATAATTTCAGAAACTTTTTCTGTAAACACGGAGTTAGCTCAGTAAATGTGTGCGTCCATATGAATGTAGTCAATACGCCTGAAAACGCTGTGAAACTATGCCAGACCTGTTGGTGGCACTGTGACGCAATGACGGGATCAAGCCCAAACTTCCGTGGGCATGCGCGGAATTTT